TACAATGGTATAAAACTTTATATATATATATATATATATATATATATATATATATATATATATATATATATATATATATATATATATAATTTGAACGTGTTATGACTACCTTACCTGCAGGCCTACTCTTGAATCTAATATAATATAAATATCAATCTAATCTAATGCCAATGACAACTTTATACTGCACTCATGAAGTAACAATTAGGAATTAAGTTAAAACTGGGATAGGTTTACAATAGTTTGCATTGGCAAGTTGCATTAATATGCATGTATCAGAACAGTATGGAACCTTTATGACGCAAGTGTTGTAATTCGAATGTTGTGAAACGTCTCAGTTCCAATATCGATTTATTGGAATTTATTTCAATAGTAACCTTATGGATCTTAAGTGAGGATAAGTAATTTTGCGAAAATATCAAATTAAAGTTTAGAAAATTAAAGCTTTAGAATCAACTTCATTATTGTATCGTTTCAAACTGTATTTCTATTTGATCTACGTACCTATTGGATGTAAAAAAAATACAATCAAATATTGCTATTGAATTACTAGTGGCTATTCCCCGCCGCTTTGTCCACGTGAATCAGTATACAAAGTATCTAGTTTGTTAAGTTACATCATAACTTAACTGTATACCAAATTTCATTTAAATCCATTCAGCCGTTTAACCGTAACTGAGTCATACTCATACATCTTCTAATTTATATTAGTAAGATGAAGGTATGACTTCGTTTTTTTTTAATGGATGACAATGGAATGGTAACCATGTCCGCGCTAACTGTATACTCAGCCAGGGTACCAGTGAGGGATGATAGCAGATCAGGTAGCCCATCGTGATGAATACACCTGGAACGAAACCACGATGTTTTCCAGGGAAGATCATGAAATATCGACCTGGTTGAGTATTTTACTAGCAATGGGGCCACTAGTCTCCATTACTAGCAATCCCTTTCCCCCGTATGACTACGTTGCTTTTAACCGTCCATAAAGTTACCGGTATAAACCCAAGCAGTTTTATTGGTTAAGTAATTAACATTTATCTAATAGCCGTAATTGCTTCCTTTTTAAGTATCTACAAAAGGAGATACTCAATTAACCTGTTTTCACTGCTCTACCTAAATGTACATGGGCCGCATACTAAATTAATGTAGTTCATACACACTCTATTATTATTTACTAACTTTTTGCACGTAACTTCGTGCGCGCGCTATAAAGAAGTAGAGGAATTGAAATATACCGTATGTAGAAGTCCTACATATCAAAATAAATCATATATCTGTCTTTAAACTAAACTTTCAGCAATTATAATGATTGACGTTCCACCTTTTTGCACCAAGCACTTCCGTTCATCGTTTCTTATTCGAACTATCAAGGAATGGAATGCTCTTTTGATATCTGTGTTTCCAGATCACTTTAACATGGCGTCTTTCAAAGCTAGTAATTACGAGTAGGTATTACTTAAGTTTGCTCATGTAAACGTCATTTAATTTCAGGTGAGATTGTGGTCAAAAACGGTCAAATTTATTATTTAAAAAAAGAATATAATGTTACGTAATAAGGACTCTTTTGCACACGATAAAAAAATATATACAGGATAGATTTAATAGTCGAAAGCATTTCCTGCCACTTGCCATAATGAACAGAAAAAAATATAAAATCTACTTATTCCACTATTATTGTAAACACATTTTTTTTTAATGGCTGATAATGTAATGATAACCCCACCCCGCCTGCGCTAAATGTATACGCTGGCGGAGCACCAATGAGGGATGATAAGTGAGAATGAAAAGGTTAGCCCATCGTGACGAATACATCTGGAATTCAGCATAATGGTTTCCATGGGGACCAGGTGTAGGTCGACCTGACAGCGTATATTGCTAGCAATAGGACTAATATTCCATATTATTAACAATCCCTTCCCCTCAACGTAAATGTTTGTCACAGTGCATGTACGAATAGTTGTCTGTTTCTCTTTCACGCAAAAACTATTGAACAAATTTGAATGCAATTATGTACACGGGTAGGCTATATCGCATGTTTGAATCTAACATAGGGCACATATTGATTCACGCAGGTAGAGACACGGTAAACAGCTAGTTGGATTCTATTGAGGTTATGCTCTTATAATTGCGTAGTGCATATGTAAATTTTTCTATACGTTTAAAAAAAAATTCTATACGTTTTTTGTAATTAAGATTGTCTTCCACAAAAAAAAAAAACAATTTCAATTGTTACAAAACGAATTATTTTAATTAAAAAAATAAATGATTGAATCGATTTTCATAAAAATTCTATAAGGCCAATCTATAAGTCTATATTTTCAGATAAAAAACTCGAGGTCGGTTTACAATTGACGGAGTTATAAAGTAACAAATATATAAAAAAAATATGTACAACCGAGCTGAGAACCTCCTTCCTTTTGAAGTCGGTTGAAAATAGAAAGTTTCAAGATTTCGTGATTTTTCGGCAAAAAGAATAAATGTAATATCACTTTTTAAGTTTTTTTTTATACAACTTAGAATGACAAACAAGCTGACGACCCATCTGCTGGAAAGTGGTAACCGTCACCTATAGACATGAGCAGTACCATGGACATAACAGAGTATACTGTTTCGCCCATGATACCCCCCATGCGTTGCTATTCCTGAGGACTCAGGTGTTATTCCTCTGTACCCAGTAAATTCACGCCATATTTCACCCTTCATACCGAAACACAACCATGCAAACACAACTGCTTCACGGTTGAAACACGAATGGGACAGAGGTACCCAAGCAATCGACTTTTGTACAAAGTCTCCCTCTGGTAAATATGTACTCGAAAAGAAAATACCCGCGTTGGGGCTAACCCGCGATCCCTTCGTATTAAGGCACGGTGAAGGACACCATACGGTTTTAGCCGGTAGAGTAGCAGTATAATTATAGGTATGCCAGAAGGGGAACATGTTGATCTCCATAACAGATTTTTAAATGCAAACAATTTAAGATCTGATTTCATGCAAAAAGATCGACTTTCGTCGTCGCAAAACCGGTTATTTTAATTTAAAAACTAATTTTTTAACTAATAAACTAACTAATTGGTAATTTTAATAAATTTTATTAAAATTTCCATGAGACCAATCTAAAAGTATTTCCTATTAAATAAAAGAAAAAAGAATTTTCCATATCGTTATATAAATAAAGGAATTATGATGTAGCAAACAAAATATACAAGGAAATTGTTAGCCTTTTTTTTCGAAATCGGTAGAGAATGAAAACAATTGTCTGAAAGTATTTATTTACAAGCGTTAAGTGTGCCGGAACCGCAAAATTACTTTGTGCTATTTACTTAAATGAAAATATCAGCAGATTCCAAAATAGCTCCAAAAACACTTGTTCAGATAAGTAAATAATTTTCGAGTCTATGCGATTACGACAATACTGCACTCATCACATCATCATACCAGCTGTTAATTATCCACTGCTGAACTTATGTTCAGCCTATTGGGAAGCTGTACTCACTGACCTAAAATTATTTTACACGATGACAGTAACACTCCCTAGGGGGAAGGGATTGTTAGTAATGGGGTCTAATGAACCCATTGCTAGTAGTATACCCTATCAGGTCGACCTCCACGCGGTTCCCCCTGGAAACCATCGTGGTTAATTCTAGTGGAATTCGTCACGATGGGCTAACTAACCTGCTTTCATTCTCGTCTATCATTTCACTCACTGGTGCCCCGCCAGTGTATACCGATAGCACAGGTGGGGTTACCATTTCATTTTCACCCATTAAAATAAAAAAAGTAACACTAGCTAATTTGTTTCCATTTTGGGATTAGTAACTGATTCTTGCACTCCTACTACAGAATAAAAAGACATTTTAACCTATACTTATTCGTAACTGTAGGTACATCATAAGGAAAAATAGAAATAACATAATATAAATAGAAATAAAATAATTGCTACCTACCTATTCACCTTCATACTATCCTACAGTACCTATGTAATAATTCAATACATTCATAAAACCTTTATATATACTTGGCAAGGTTAATTGGTAATATCAACATGTCCTTTTTTTTTCTGTAATTTAGTAATTTAAAAATAAAAGCAAAAAATAGTACCGTTGAAATGAAGTTCTTAATGCGTCTATAATTTTTATAACTATAGGTATTAAGAGATGACGTCCCCAATTCTGAGTCAATTTTAATAATCCCTTTTTTTTAATAGGTGCTGCCATTTTTATTAGCTGTACAAATAACTGCTAGTTGCAAAATCTTCTTCTCCAAGTTCACGATCTAATTAAAATATTTTAAATAAATATTCTAATATGTATTTCCATGAAATAGCTCCCCATTCATGCGTTTCGTTATAATTGAAGTCACAATCTCCTTTTTTTGTAGAGCAAAATGTGTCTACTTGTTAATTTAAGTTGGGCATTTCTATTTATTTATTTATGTTTCTCCACACATTAAAATACAAGACGAGTTTAATGTCGATGGCATTCTCTACCAGTCGACCGTTATGATAAACAGAGAGATTTTTATTTGTTATTTTCTTTTTATTTATACACCATTATTTTAGTATTTACTTGTGAAAAATGTTTACTAATATTGCGAAATGTAAACTATAGAAAAATAGCTAGATCATAGTTAGTTTCAGTCTCCCTACCTAAATACTATATCTATAATTATAATCTACTTAATTAAAATTTATCTTTATAGAGAAAGAGGATATAAGCTTTATTTCATTACCTTTTTATCAATAAATATTAATCACTCATGCATCAATTAGGCAACAACTAAATACTTATTATCTATGTAGTCACTTTATCAGTGTAAACAGCATTATCAATTACATAAAAGTATATCTAACTCAAACAAGAGCACCCATTGTAACATTTAGCACCGGATAATGTGACTCATAACACAAAATAAACCATATTAAAGTGTTGAATTTAGCGCGTTTATTATGTCATAGTTTTAGCCTTGATATATAACTTAAAAAATAGATTACTTACTTCACAAATTCAACTCACTTTTAAACAATTGATAACACACAAATTCACAATTTTAATAGTCATATCTAAGTTAAGCGAAAACGTACGTGCAATATATCACAACTTTAACTAACAACTAAATAAACTTTAACAACTTTAACATACTTTTAAAACTCTATTGTCAAATTTTATATATATTATATTGGTTACAAACTCTAATATTAAATGCTCGGGTTGACGTAAAAGTGACACCAACAGTAAAACATTTCTATCGAAATATATTATATTATTCAAATGAAATAACCTATATGCCTAATCTGCATCATAGCTCTAGCATTTTTTTCTGTAAAGTGGCCCTGGTTGAACAGGATTACGAATAATTACTATAGAGTATACTTTGTACACAAGTAAATAGAGTTCATTTCATTCAAGCATTTCAAGTAAGCAAGTTAACGCGTTCCGTTTCACGTTCTAACTTTAGAGTAAGCTAACAATAACTTAACTCACTTAAAAGTTGCTGTATCCAGTTATGACATTAATTTAATAGTAGAATAATTCAGTGACTAGATTTCATAGATGTAAATAATCTCAGAGAACTTTTGAATATTGAAGTAACTAAATAATGTAATAGAATCCGATAATTATATGAAATATATATAATACAATAAGAAACAGTCTTACGATGTAAACATTTAAATTTTGCAAAAATTTAGACGCATTAAAATGTTACCTTTCGATTTCAGTAAATATATTATTTACTTTGATTAAATAATATATTAAATTAAATATTGGATTGCTGATTATTGCTGAAGAATGGTAAGCAAATTACAAAATTAATAATAATTATTAATAATTAGTAAAGCGCCATCTGTGTTCGGATAAGTGAAGAGACGGGTTTACTTATTAATGACTAAAGCAGGTTTGCTAATAAATTAATATAGTACCCCATTTTGAACAAAGATGGCATGAGATAGTAATAAAAATTAATTTCACTAGAGTTTGCTATTTGTAGCATTTGTAATCGACATAAAAAAAGTAGGTGGTTAGACGAGCAATGATATATTTTTTAAGTATGTCCACAGATTTCTCCGTCTATTTTGCACCGATTTCTGAATTTTTTATTCTTCAGAGTATACTCCTGAGGTGGCTTTATTGTCACCAAGTTAGGCTCTGATGATAAGAACGTATAGATCTTTCACGTTATTTGGATAATTGCGCTTGTCATCATTTCACGCTGCTGAGGTAAGGATGGAAGCTACAGAATTCCATATCGCTTAAAAAAATACGTATATTAAGATTTGATAATATCCTACTAGAGAGTTAGTTATCCTATTAGCAAGAGTTAAAATTTGTTGTTAGATACGAGTTATTTTATCACTAAAAAATTAAAAATAGAAACTAAAATTTATGCTAAATTTAATTATTTTTAAACTAATTTATTTGATATAATAACAATGTGATTATATCATGTGAAGTATTTATTTATTTACCATGTACATATTATTTACACTAAAAAGGGAAAAATAAAGAAACTTTTTTTTAAGAAATTAAACCAGTGAAGAATAAATTGATTTGTTATGAAAAGGTTTCTTTTTTTTATGGTTGAAAATGGAATGGTAGCCTCACTTGTGCTATCGGCATACACCAGTGGAACATTAATGAGTCATAGTAAAGGAAGTAAAAGCACGTCAGCCAATTGTAATAAATTCACCAATTAATCACTATGATTTCCAAGGGGAACCATGTGAAGGTCGACCTGATATATTGCTAGCAGTGGGACTGTTAGAGTCTTCTTTCTCACAAATTTTTTCCTTCCGCTATATAGAGATTCATTTTCAAGGATATACAGGAAGTAAGAGGCAGGTAGGCAAAAACTAAAACAGTGAATTCAGACCATTATTCTGAATTTAAAATCAGTAGAATTTTTTCCGGAAAATTTGACATCATTTTCCTGTTTTTTTTTTTTTATTTATTTAAAATCATGTAATCATATCATATTATGTCATAATATAAAGAAATAACGTCCCGATACTTGGGGTCAGCGGTTCAACACAATTATCTATGTATCGACTGTAAGAAAAGTGTGAAAAATATATATTTTATTCTTATTTGAAGGTATACTAATTTCAAATAGTAGCTGCGGTCTTAATAGATATAATATACAATGACAGTACCTAATAGTTTGAACGAGACTCTATTACAAACGACGGAAATGTAAGCAAGATTGGAAATATTTTTGTCTTGCTCTGCGTTTTTTTTATTTTTGGATGGCTTAACTATAGCTATGTCACTATTATACGACGCGGATAAAAGACTGAATTTTTAATTGTTTGTTTTTTTCAATGACGTTATTTTATTGCTGTCCCATAGTATTTCGAGGACAAGTACCTCTATTTCTTTTTGAATAGATGGTAATCGAATGGTAACCCTGTCTACGTTATCGATATAATCTGTTACCGCTAGTAAGCGGGGATCCAGTATAGGATTATGGCTGAAAATGAAAACAGGTTAGTTTTTTATTGTTATAGAAACAAATGAACTGGCCCTCCACCTGATGTAAAGCGGCTACCGTCGTTTATGAACACCTGTAATATGAAACGAATTACTTCTGCGTTGTCAGCCTTTTAAATGTTTGTAGGCATGTTTTTGATCACGAAAGATCCATTTTGATGAATTCAACAATTATTAAATAGAATGGTTCTCAGGGAAACTTAATGGAGGATGATAGGGATATAACTAGCACCATTGCTACCTGAATAAATAGAGGTACCTGTACCCTATGTACAGGTATTTCTATTTATTTTATAATTTTATAGAGGTATCTGTACCCCACGTACAGGTACCTCTATTTATACCTTCTAATTCATACAAACGAACAAATTTATCTTCTAATTTATTGTTAACTTATATACTTGTAAGCAAACTTGTCAACGTGCAAACGTTCACTATAATTTAATCTGTGGATAATGTCAGTGTCAAGTTGTCAAGTTGACAATTTGATCAAGTTGTCAATGCCGGTCTGCTGGTGTGTGGTGCCTGCCTACTGTCTACGTGTTGTTCTACAATTTGCCGGACAAAACTTTCGATTTTTATGAAATAAAATAGATCTTGTTACGTGTCCACTGCTTCAATTAATGTTGCACATTTTGCAAGCAGTACAGTTTATATGTATACAACGTCACGTTCTCACATAAATACATTGTTTTGCCCTGTGTTTATTGGTAAATAATAATGGCCAAGGACAGATCAGAATTTCGATTCATTTTTTACGCTGGTGCTATATTTATTTGCTACTTTATATTTGGTATGTTACAAGAGAAAATAACAAGAGGCAAGTATGGTGATAATGAACAGTTCACTTGCGCTTTATCATTGACGCTGGTGCAGTGCGTCGTCAATTATATATTTGCACAAATATTGATGGTAAGTATTCATAAGTTTATATTATTCGGTATATAATTGTCGAGATTGACAATTCTATAACCATATGTTGCTTTTAAGTGATATGGGTGGATACCGACAGATTAATACCTAGACTAATAATGTTAAATTTGTCATAAATTATATCGTCTATATTTTCGTAGCCTTTTTTTGAGATTTCACTGTGTAATCAGGTGGGGTTATCATTATAGGTTTTTTAAATAAATGGTTATGAAATACTAACTCTATCGGTGCTATGAGGGTATTCTGCTAAGATGTCGGTGAAATTGGTTAGTTAGTCAAGTTAGTTGGCATCTCATGCCAATTCATCAAGATTTAATTGTGATGACTTCTAGCAGGATCATGTGAAGAGGTTCTTTGATTTAAACAATACATGGTTGATAAAAATAAATGATTAAATATATAATGCCACTAAGGAGAAATATCTTAGCATATTGTCTAGCTAATAACCGTTTGCTGGGGGCAAAGGGATTTTTAGGAATGGAGACTAAGGGCCCCATTGCTAACAATATACTCAACCAGGTTGACCTTTATGTGGTCCCTCCTAGAAATCACCACATTGAGTTCTAGGCCTATTCGTCACAATGGGCTAATTGACCTGCCTTTTCATCACCTATCATCCCTCACTGGTATACAACCTTTTACAGGTGTATACCATTAGCATGGGCTGGGGTACCATTCCATTTCCATTTATTAAGAAAATAATCATATGCTATCTTAGGGAAGAATCAGATATTGACAATAATTCTGTACACTAGATGAGTTATGAATATAGATATAAAAATGCAAGGAATCCGGTATATATTTGTACATAACTAGTTACTTAAAGTAGTAACTAGTTACACATATATATAATAACAAAATCTGTACTTACATAATTTTCAACTTAAATTTTGCTCGTAAGTTAGAAACTATGTGACATATCAATTATTTCAATTTCATTAAGCCATATAATGCCAATGTAATATGTAGAATGTAATGTTATTTATTCTATTATATATTATATTTATTGTTTTGCAGTTATCTTGGAAGCATGATACTGACACAACAAGGAAGGTTTACTACTTCTCATCAGCATTGACTTACCTTTTGGCTATGGTTTGCTCCAACATGGCATTGCAGTGGCTCAACTATCCCACACAGGTTTGAATTTTATATAGAAGAATGTTATAATAATTATTTTTATACTGTGTGTATACTGATATCTCCGTTATTGCATGGTAATAGAATATCTCTGACAAAAATGGCATGTTCTATTATAGTTACAGAATATATTCACAAACATGATGTTTGTGCATCCAGGCAGGTGGATTGGTAACCGCAGTTAGGCTTTGGAGATGTTTTAAGGGGGATGCTGTTGCCAATTTCTTGCTCTACTTTTGTCGCCTCTTACAACATCCATGCGAAAGGAAGTGTTGGCCTATTTTATGCCAGGACCTCATATTGCTTATAATAGTGTTTCTTATATTTCAGGTGGTGGGTAAAGCAGCCAAACCAATTCCTGTCATGATTCTCGGAGTACTATTAGGAAGGAAGTCCTATCCACTCAAGAAGTACTTCTTCGTGCTGCTGATAGTTACTGGTGTTGTGTTGTTCATGTACAAAGATCAGAACAACAAGGCTACTGACACCTCTCAGGGTTTTGGACTTGGGGAACTACTAATCATCCTCTCCTTGGTCATGGATGGCTTGACTGGTGCTGTGCAGGTATTGAGAATATAAATATACCATTTCTTACCGCAGTTTTACCTGCGTGAATTAGTATATGTAGTATTTTATGTGTTATGTTAGAATATAACTTGCCCATGTATCTTTTTCTATTCTAATCCATTTTTTGCTATTTTTGCCCTGGTCTAACATAGTATGTTATTTTTTACACCGACACTTTCAAATTGTATTTTGTTATTTTTTATATTTTAGGAACGCATCAAGAGTGAGTCTTCCCCCAGCGCTTATTCAATGATGTTGAACACAAATTGGTGGTGAGTTTATTATTAGTATTATTTTTTTAATTTATTATTCTCTGATATTCTTTCTGCTGTGCGAATTTCTTCATTTTGTATGTGATTTCCAAATAATCTATTTGCATACTGCAATGTTTAGTTAAGCAATAGCTAAGCATAGGCAATTGCGAAACATTGAATCGTTGGATGCAAATCTTTCCTTCTTTTTCAAATGTACTTAGTAGCTCAATTATTATAATTTGTTTGGCATCTTAATTTTTATTTTATGTATTAAAAGGTGATGATAGTTCTAATTTCTCCCTGGCTATGAGAGAAAGGACTTCAGCATCTTTGTAAATAATGTGTGACAGTGAAATAACTGGGTAACATCTTAAATATATTCTGTTCCTTATGGCAGTCTATGGGGTAGGCTTATGTTCAGCAGTAAACAGGTAATAGCTGATATGATGATGATCTTAGGTGATGCTGTTCATGTCTATTATCAGTATGTTCATTGTTGAATCATGAAAATTATTAAAGAACACGCACATTGCATTATGTTCTAATGTTTATGTTATAAGTATCCTACTAATTAAGTATACAATAAATTAGATGTTCAAGTAAAGCGAGCGATATAATAAAAGAAATTGAACAAAAAAATAAAAATAAATGTTTCACAGTCAATAATTGTGTATTTTAATAAATCAGGGGGCTATTATGCATGTTTGCCACCTTTGTGGTATAAAAAAAATGCGTTAGAAGTTAGAATAGTAGAGAAAACTGAATATTAAATGTGTCAACGGTGTTAAGAGATTTCCTTTTTCTTGTACAGGTCTATTGTGACTTACGATATTTTAGACATGTAAGAAATTTCATAGTTTGCATGTCTCGATTTTAAATATTTAATAATAAAAAATAAAAATGGCAATAAATGCGATAATTGCGGAGCTATTTAAGTATATTTTTGCAATGCGAAAATTTTGCTAAAGTTTGTAAAATGCAGATGGCGTTACATTGTAAAATAATTTGAATTTATTTTATATTTAAATTTTATTTATTATTATTAGAGAGACCATCTAAAGATATGGTTCAACTGAGCTGTATATTTATTGATTCAATATGCACAAACACAGACAGTCTTTTTACATTTTTTATATGTATTTGTACATATATATTACAAATAAAGGAGTTTAACTGTAGAGAGATGGACAGCAGCATATAAATATCTCCGAAACCGAACAATGGTTGCCAAGCGTGGCAACTACTGGCGTAACTTGTAACTCTTGGGGGCAAGAGGGAGGTTTATATTCAGCAGTTAAAGGCTGATATGTTGATGATGATGGTATTCATTTACTCGTGCAAAGCCTGGGCGGATTGCTAGTGTAAATATTTACCATTATTTCCCTTCTTTACAGGTCTACAGTAATACTGTCAGTGGGTATTGTACTCAGTGGTGAAATATTCCGGTTTATCACCTTCGTATCTAAATACCCAGAGGTATTGATATATCTGGCTGCATTCGCTCTCAACGGTGCCTTGGGTCAGCTCTTCATATTCTTTATGGTGAGTTGTATGGTAGTTTTTTTGATGGGGTAGCAGTTTTGTATAGACATATACCTATGTATGATGAGGATGTCGCAGACCCCATCGCCGTTTAGCAAATGTGTTCTGTAGTGGAGACCATGGACAGGCGTAATGTGGCGGGCGATAACCCCTATATAATATATAAAACTCCCTTACCAATAATGCAAAACGATATGCGCACAATTGCTGGACATGATCGAATGCGTAAATCACAGGCCCGTACAAAGTGTCGCTCTTTAAGAGGCCTATGTCCACCAGGGGATTGCAATGGACTGATGATAATGGTAATGATGAGGACACTGTACTATATGGACTATGTGTATGCTGGGTTTGAATGAGTCTTTGTTATATGGATTTACGTTATCTATCTTATATTGTATCCTTGTTAATAGAGATGGCGGTGAGCTAAAACAATAGCGAAAATGATGAAGTAAATAATTATAATTGCAATGATCCATCTTGATTATTATGAAACTCGTATTAAAAAAAAAAACAATTAAAAAGGGCATCTACCAAAACTGGAAACACGTTTCATGTTATAAACAAAAATTATATATTATTTCTTGGAAATATATTAACTACATAACATGCAGTCAAGTATCTTAAATATTATTTGCATTCCTTATACTAGAATTGAGTAGTTTCTCTGTGAATGGCGCTTCGTCAGACCTAAAGGTATTGAGAAAAAAGGTGGAAATATTGTCTTTTATGAGATTGATATTATGAATCAGTTACTTTTGTAATTTTTTTATAAAATGAAAAAATAATTAATAGAAAGTATTGTCACCTCTCTCAGTATATTAAGTAAATAAATAAATAAATGTATTGAGTGGCGACCTTAATACCATTGTAGAAAGTCTGTTGTTGCAGGTGGCTCAGGACCGTTCCTTATGACAGTCTATGGGAAAGGCCTGTGTTCAGCATTGGACAAGTACCTAATGGTTGAGATGATGAAATATATTATGTAGAATCTAGTTTTTGTGAAACGATATTTTATTGGTTATTTATTTTTTTCTATTTTTTTTTTACATGTTACAGGTGTCAGAGTTTGGTCCCTTACCGTGTTCGGTAGTGACGACTACCAGAAAGTTTTTCACAGTCCTGGCTTCTGTTATCATATTCGGCAACGTACTGGCCGGCAGGCAGTGGTTCGGCGCCGTTTTGGTGTTTAGCGGTAAGTCACATACTAGGTCCAGTAAATACACTGAAAACCGCACTTTTTTTTTATACAACTTAGAATGGCAAACAAGCCGACGACCCACCTGATGGAAAGTGGTAACCGTCGCCTATAGACATGAGCAGTACCATGGACATAACAGAGTATACTGTTTTGCCCATGATACCCCACATGCGTTGCCATTCCTGAGGACTCTGGTGTTATTCCAGTAAATTGTACCCAGTAAATTCACGCCAATTGGTTTTATGGGAAGAGACTAATTTTACCCAAAACCTAATGTGTCAAGTAATAAATGTTATTTTGTTACAGGTTTATTCTTAGACATATTCTACAGTAAAGGAAAAGCTCAACCTCCAAAGAGGGCAGCCAACAAATGATCCGAGTATGTTTTTGACTATAGATAATTTATAGATTTATTGTATATTATGCAAAAATATCAAATATTCACCACCTTACCGTATTAAATACATTATTAGAAGGTAATCACTGTCTTCTCAATCACCATGGAGAGTTTTATATAGCGTTGTTGTTTTATAATCGCCGTATAATAGTGTTTGTATAATTTTTTAGACGATACAGTATGTTTATTAGTGAAATCCATTCATTAAAACTAGTGTTAGTTCTCATAAATAGTGTCTGAAAAATGTTTTTCTTTTTCCTAGAAAAAAATATTACTGAAAAGTAAAAAAAAAATTAATAAAAATTTTCGAAAAAAGAATAACTTGTCTATGTCAACAGCACTACACAGTACAAGGTGTGTACATACCTATTATTACATTCAAGAATTTAGTTTTTTTTTAGTCTTTGGTAATATAATTTTTGATTTCTAGAAAAAAAAAACATTTTTGAGATTCTATTACACTACTGAAACTAGTTTTGAAAAATGGATTTCGTTATTTAACATACTGTGTAATTGAGTAAATGAAGCAGTGTAGTATAGCCCTTAAGCTATATAGTTAACTCTTTATATAAATTGGGATAAAAGGGGAAACATTGTTTCCTTTTTTACTGTTTACCAACCCTCTGATTTGAGGGATAAATGTATCAATTTACACCAAGCTCACATGTCCTTTACACATCTTAAAATACATCTTAAAATAGGACGTAAATGTACTAGGTTACTGCCTGTGTCTTTAGTTCCTGGAGTGAATTTTTAAATTCTCATATATTTAAGGTTATTTGAAAAGTTCTTAGCCTAACATGGTTAAAGTCATTGGTTTTTTTTATAACTACATTTTGTAGTTACATTATTTAGCAACAAGTATGCACAGTTTAGTTTATTCACAGTAACTCATTGTTCGTTTACACGTGATACCGTAAGTCAAGTCAGAGCTATTTTTGAAAATGGATAAAAATTGAACATCGTGCAGTGATAAAACCTAAGGTGTCTGCGTGGTGGGTACTGCGACTGCTTTCAGTGGAACAAAAACGCAACCGACTCACAATTTCTCGCGACTGTTTAGAGTTATATGAAGCTGACCCAATAGAATTTGTTGAAAGATTTATAACCATGGATGAAAGCTGGGTTCACCACAATACACCCAAGACAAAAGAACAGTCTAAACAATGGAAAAGAGCAGGATCGCCCACCCCAAGGAAGGCAAAGGTGGTTTTATCGGCGGGCAAAGTCATGGCATTCGTTTTTTGGGATGCAAAGGGTATAATTCTCTTGGATTATTTAAAAAAGGGTGAAACAATAAACTCCGATTAATATTGGAACCTGTTGCGTCGTTTGAGAGAAGAAATCCAAGAAAAACGTCCAGGTTCATTGAGAAGAAAAGTCTTGGACAATGCGCGCGTTCACACCTTTGTGCAGTCCATGGCAGAAATCCATCAATGTGGCTTCGAATTGTTACCTCATCTCCCATATTCACCGGATTTAGCACCATCCGACTTTTATCTGTTTCCAAAGCGGAAAAAATTTTTAGGTGGTAAACATTTTTTTACAAATGAAGAGGTCATAACCGCCGTGGACGCTTATTTTGAGGAGTTAGGCGAAGATTTTTTTAAAACGGGTATCGAAGCCTTACCGGGTCGATGGAAAAAGTGTTTTGAGCTCGGAGGAGAGTATGTTGAAAAATAAAAATAAACTCAAAATCGTGTGGTTTCATTAAGTATGTTAGGCTAAGAACTTTTCAAATGACCCTCGTATATTAAATTTATATATATACGAAATCAATTCCCTTTGCGAATAAACACATACTAAAAATGTTATAAATATCATAAGGCACTGTGATATATTTAATTTATTTACTCCTTTTTTTTATCACAGAACAGAAAGTACAAGTACTAAATATAGAACAAATGTGGGTAACAAATATGAATTGTGCATAGACAAATTTAAACAGTAAATAGAAGCTGCCACAAAGTTAAAGACACATGTGAATTAGTACCAGAGGGAGACTTTGTACAAAAGTCGATTGCTTGGGTACCTCTGTCCTATTCGTGTTTTAACCGTGAAGCAGTTGTGTTTGCATGGCTGTGTTTCAGTTTGAAGGGTGGGATATGGCGTGAATTTACTGGGTACAGAGGAATAACACCTGAGTCCTCAGGAATGGCAACGCATGAGGGGTATCATGGGCGAAATAGTATACTCTGTTACTGTCGGTTACCACTTTCCATCAGGTGGGCCGTCAGCTTGTTTGCCTAAGTTGTATAAAAAAAAAATATATTAATTTCATAATTCACATAATTATAATTGACTATAAATATTTGCTAATATTTTTATAGCAGTAAAGTTTTAATAAAGATATCCATATATCCGTATATATTATAAATAATAGGTAATAAATATTAGTTATAGATTATCGAAATTGAGTTGTGACTAATAATGGCAACTTTGACAAAAAATTTATATATTTAAAAAAAATATACATACTTTATGGTCATTCCAATACGCTATGGATATGTCCAAACTGGGCACGTCATAGATCACTTTTACAATCTAATCTGTGACGTGCCTTAGTTTTGGATAATTACTAAATTAGGATTTATTTTGTTCTATAATTTATTTCTAGTACTAATTTGTTTTTGCATTTACTATATTTGTTGTAATAATATAGCTAATGCTTACTAAGAAGAAGTAATTTTTTTATTGTCATAAACAAATATTTTTGGAAGGCTCTATATTTTGATCAGGCCGGTTTATTTGATGATTTGTGCAAAGCTGTTTTAGTTCTTTTTGTTCTGTGTGTCTCTAGCTTGTTTGGGAGTTTACATAGAGTTGCTTGTTTTACATATAGAAAATTACTGAAGTGTAACGTTTATATACGAATGTGTATTTTAGACTTTTTTTTATATCAATGTTTTCAACATATTTAAATATAAAATTCTCGAGTCACAGCTTTACTTGGCATACTTCTCCGAAACGGCTTAACCGATGTCGATGTGATTTTATATGTATACTCGGTAGGTTTGAGAATAGGTTGTTATCTATTTTTTATACCCCTAAGTGATAAGGATAGCCCACCCCAAAAAATAATTCCCTAGAAATAATTTAAATGATATAACAGTGTTTGTCAGGACAGCCCATTATTTTATATATTTTTTATATTGCAATATTTTAAAATGTGTATAAATGGCATATTAGTATGAGTATTATGTAGGCTAATAGCAAGATTAATTGTTCCATTCAGTGATGCTATTGTATATAAAGCATATGCTTTTAACATTTTTTTTTTTTATTTTAAAATACATTGTACAGCTTTGGTCTACTGAGATCACTTTTCTGCGCTGTGTTTATTCATTCAAATATACATACGTGATCATATATATTTGACAGTGTAATATGCCCTTTTAGGCTATCATTATAATGATAATGATTGTATCTGTTTGTATATATTTGTCTGTAATTGGCTTTGTGTTACTGTAGTAACTATTCTATTTTTTTTTTCGCAATAATTGATATATGACAATGATAAAAAATGTGATCTGTAATCGAATTGCAATCAATAAATGTAATTATATTTAAATAATGCATCATGGAGTTTTATGCTATTTAAAATTATGAGATCAGTCGATTATATCTCTGTCTACCCCTCTCGGGATTAGTCATGAGAATTCTACGATTAATAGTCACAAATTGTAAATAAATAGTGAAACAAACCTTAAAAATAATATTTTTTTCACACGTTGCTTAATGATTTTGTAGGAATTACATATTACTTATATATAATATGCATATACTTATATACAATATGAACAGACATTAGAAAAGACTAATTCAGAATTTTAACGAAGTAAAAAAATTTAAACACACTTAGACAATTTTATGTTTTACGAAATGTAAAAAAAAAAGTCACCTGTCAGTTGTCACACGATATTGATTTTAACAAAATGTTTTTATATGTTATTATAGGAATTTGTAATACATATTTTGAAAATATTTTTAATGGGTAACCATGTATTTGGGAATTTTAAATGATAAGTCGAAAAATGGTGTGTTACCTCAGGCCTCAGAAAATTTACTAACCAATACTCACTCAGCTTGGATAGCAGAGATGTGGATTCGAATCCCATTGAAGCAAGTTTTTCAATCTATAATAATAAACAAATATTGGTATTAATTTGAAAATTTTATAATCAAATTTGTTGTAGTATTTTTGTTTTGAAATACTTTGTTGACAGCTTTACAATGTTAATTCTCAAATGAATTTTTATTAGTTACAATTATATTTCTAAATTGTTTATCACTCTGTCTTCCTTATTTAGATGTTTTTTATCTGTCATAAATTTCTGAACAGGAGTCAAAGAATGTATAATTTTCTGTCCCGTTTATATTAATGCTCTCTGACAATGCATAATTTTATAATTCTTTTGGAATTATAACGAGAATGAATTGACTTACACATATCACGTAACGCCATCTAGTTTTAAATTATACAGAACTTATACTATATGTACATGTTAATAGAACCTCATAAATATATTAAACATTTTTTTTTTGTTTGTAAGTAAAAACCCATATGAATAACAACAATACAAAATAAGATCGCTACAACTGTATGCAATATTACGTTAATATATTTATTTATACTTTATTGTACACAAAAATATACATTGTTATATTTTATATTAAATAAGGATGTACAACAGCCGAGCTTAACTTTACAAGAGTTCTCTTCCAGCAAATTAAGATTATATATATATTTTTTACGTTGTTGTTACTACTTTAACGTGCAGGAAAAAATTAAAAGTTCGAGAAAAAATGGAAAGTCAACACTAACCATATAGGAAAACTATAAGAAAAATACAACACGATTTCTATTTCTTTTTTCATTTGGTATGAGTTCTTGAATTATAAATTATATTGCTAATCATATTTTTTTACCATTTAACGAGTATTTCCGTGTCAATGGATCACAAAAAAAATTTGCATCTCATTATAGTATTTTATGACAGTTTATATTGAAATATACAGTACAAGTTACCATTGTTCCAATACGCATTTACGTGTGCAATAATATTGATTTGTAATAAACGTGAAATATTTAATTTTTGTAGTTTTTTTTTTAACATATTAACAGTTCTTATACTTCCTAATTGATATCTCCTTTATATATTATTATGTAAAATTGTCTCTATACTTTTTTTTATATCTGTTGCCTGTATGCAAAAGCTTCAAGTTACACAACGAGCTATGAAGAATATTCTCGGAGATTTTTTGCGTAACAGAATTTGAAACGAGGATATAGAGTGATCGACGTAGCTCGAAGGATAAGCAAGCTGAAATGGCAATAGGCTGGTCACATAGCTTGAAGAACCGACAACCAACGGGGAAAAAAGTCTTGAGTGACGACCCTGTATGGGTAAGCCAGTTTAGAAGTAGTCATAATAAAATAACAAACATCCATGGAATAAATTCAGAATTTGTATGTTATCTCTTGTTAAATTTTGACCATTTTATTTAGTAGATATTAGTGTAAGTTAGAAGGTAAGTCGTTTTCTGCTTGGTTCGCACTAGTAATTGCTTAAACCTTAAACTTGCATTTACTACTAATAGTTTTCACAGACGACGTAATTTTCCCGCGGGAAAATTTTCCCTTTTAATTTGTTTTAGCTCCGGGCTGTGATATCCTCGGCATAGGGGGCAAAAAAATCTAACAAGCCCATTTCTAGCAATATATCTTAAAATGTCGTCCTCATCGCGGTTCCTTTTGGAAACCAATTGACTTGCTTCATTCTCACTGGTGCCCCGCTAGCGTATACCGTTTTCATTTTCATTTGTTAAAATATAATATAAAAAATAAGCATTGACATGTGGGTTATATTAGAAATAATATACTCAATTTTGGTGCTTTTTTATTATTATATTATTACATTAAAATTTTTTGTCATTTTTTTTTGTTTTTTGTTTTTCTTTAGAACACTTACACAACATTAAAATTATTTGAATATATGTAGTACGTGCTGGGTATAGGAAGAAGATTATGTATGTAGAATTAATAGTGCATGTTATAATTTTTGGATATTTCTTTTTTCCGTAAGAACAGAACTAGTTATACGAAGTTATAACTTTTTATACGTATTAAAGATACGAAACAAATTATGTGTATTTACCAGAATCACAGCAGTAGAGTTAGCAAAGTAATATAGTAAGTACAAATAAAAAAAAAGCATTAATCTAAAAGCGCAAGTTATATAGTGCGCAAAGTTATATCTAAAAATATTTTATGGATTACAATGATAATAAATGCAACAATAAACGACAAGTACCTGTGGCACATAATTGAAACTTAATCTAAATAAAATTTGATACAAGAATAAATGCACTTAAAACTATAAAAAAGCAATATAATTCCACAAAAAATATCATAATAGAATATAAAATTAAAAAAATTCTTACATTTGCAAATCTGTAATTTAATGTGAAAAAATAAGCACCATTATTAATATGGACAGACGTAAGTAGGTAGGTTATTAATTATATAATTTGTAAATTACAATCAATTTGTAACTTATCACATTTTTTTTACAACTCGACGATGATACCTTTATTAAAAATTACATAAACATCTCAAAAACGGCATATCATTTTAACATACATTCAGTGCATACATTTCTAGACCATATAGTTACCTCTAGATACAGTATATGAATACGAAAGTACATAAAGATATATATTTATTTTAAATCAAAAGAAAAAAGTATACATTCTACTTAAAATATTTATCTGATTTTGGGAATTTTTCGATCAAATTACTTGCAACACTTAAAAAGGGAGCACTCTGAATTGTTTTAAAAATATGTATGATAAAAGTAGTATATGTTAATGTAAGTTAGCTGAACGTTTTTAGGGCTATTTTATATTGAACGCCATATCCAGAGGTCTATTAGTAGTTATCTAATTACTTAAATTACTAAGTACATATCAGCGCGCAACGGTCAACCACCAACTAACCTAACTTAATATTTAATTGAACATCTTGATTATGACATATAATTTCACATACAGTCAGTGCACATATATTAATATACGATATAATTACCTCTAGATAGAGTGCCTCGATATAAAAGTAACGATGTATATTTATTTTGCATAAAAAGAAACAAATGTCATAAATTCATATTGAAAATATCTACCTGACTTTAGGAATTTTCCGATCAAATTACTTGCAACACTTGAGGATAGAACACTGAATTGTTTTAAAAAATGTGTGAGGATAAAAATAATATGTGTTAACGTAAGTTAGCTGAATGTTTTTAGGGCTATTTTATATTGAACGTCATATCTAGAGGTATATTAGTAGTTATCTAATTACTTAAATTACTAAGTACATATCAGCGCGCAACGGTCAACCACCAACTAACCTAACTTAATATTTAATTGAACATCTTGATTATGACATATAATTTCACATACAGTCAGTGCACATATATTAATATACGATATAATTACCTCTAGATAGAGTGCCTCGATATAAAAGTAACGATGTATATTTATTTTACATGAAAAGAAACAAATGTTATAAATTCATATTGAAAATATATATCTGATATTGGAAATTTTTCGATCAAATTACTTGCAACACTTAAGAATGGAGCAATTAAAAAAAATATTATACGTTAGTTAGTTGAGCGATTTTAAGGTTTTTTTTTTTATATTGAACGCCATATCTAGAGGTTTATTAATAACTACTAATTACTTAAAATACTGAGTATTTATCGGCGCACGACGGTCAACCACCTCTTAATATATAAGTACAATATAGTAATTTATTCTAACTTACCTATTCTTTTATATAGCCAAAGAAATAGTTATAATATATACAAATATAAGCTAGTATAATAATAAATATATAAAGAGAAAGATTTTTCTGTTTGTAAAGGATAAATTTAATTTTTTCGAACTAAAAACACCGGATTAACTTACGTGTATTTTAATCAAAAGTGCTTGACTAGTTTTGAGACCATTTGGGACTCTTAGTGATGAGCGGCCGTGACGCGAGTGCGAGCCTGACTGCGTGCCTCGGCTTGCTAAGGCACTGTTATTCTCTACTAATATACAGGTAAGTTAATCCTGTCTTCTTACATCAAATTTTAATGTGACGAAACATTTAGATTTTAAAAATTCTTGTACCTAATTAACATGGACTATATTTTTAAAAATATTATAACTGGTGCTTTCTGTCTGTTATATTGATAATGTGGCAAAATATTATAAATGATTTTTTTTTTCGTGGAATGTAGAACGGCAAACAAGCTGACGGCCCACCTGATGGAAAGTGGTATTCGTCGGAGGAAAGGGATTGTTAGTAATACGTACTACCAGTCCCATTGCTAGCAATATACCATGTCATATCGACCTCCATGTAGTCCCCCCAGAAACCATTATGTTGACTTCCAGGTGTATTCATCGCGATTGGCTAACTGACCAGAAAGGAATTACCATTCCATTCTGATGATCCTCGCCTGCGCTATTGGCATAATGTGGCGGGGCACCAGTGAGGGATCACAGATTAGAATGAAAAGGTAGGTTAGTCCATCGTGATGAATACATCTGCAATTAATCATGATGGTTACCAGAGGAAACTACGTGAAGGTCGACATGGGGTCGGCATTGGGACTGGTAGTCCGCATTACTAACAAACTATTGCCCCTCAAGATTAAGGTGTTACACCTCTGTACCCTGTAAATTCATATCCCATCTTTCAAACTGAAACACAGGCATTCAAACACACAATATATATACGTGATTAAGTTTGTCACTTTAGCGATAATACAGCCTTTTGTACTTCATATGTATATATATATATATATATATATATATATATATATATATATATATATATATATATATATATATATATATATATATATATGTATATACATATGAAGATATTTTATGGTGAAAATAAATAAATAAAATACTTACATATTTTAGTTATGATTTAAAATTCTAAAATTTAGCCAATGCTTTGTCCGAGACAGATGCACAAATCGGACAAATAGTAGAAAAACCTTGGGTACCATCATTATCATCATGCCAACCGTTATCTGTCTGCTGAACATAGGCCTCCCTCTTAGGGGGGTTTTGTTAGTAGTTGCCACGCTTGGCAAACCTTGTGTATACCCTGGATTAAAGCAAGGGCGAAGAAGAAGTTATTTGAAAAAAAAAACGTTAACTTAACATTAGGGCTATTTTACACTGAACGATATATCTAGGGGAATGTTAGTAGTTATTATTATATAATAACTAAAATTATAATGTACTAACAGGCGCGCAACGTTCAACCACCCGTAATAATTCCTTACGTTTGTACACTTATTAATATTAATTTCTTTTAACTTACCTATCCCCTTTTCTCTAAACATATATAATAAAGAGCAAAGATATTTCTGTTTGTAACGGATGAACTAAAAATACATAACCGATTGTAAACGCTATGACCAACCCGCATATAATGGGGGAAAGGGACTGTTATTAGTAATCGAGACTGAGAATCCCATTGCTAGCAATATACCCAACCAAGTCGACCTCCTCGCGGTTCCTCCTGGAAACTATCATGGTTAATTCCTGATGAATTCATCATGATGGGCTAATTGGCCTGTTTTCGTTTTCATCTATCACCCTTCACTGATGCTTCGCCAGCGTATCCCGTTAGGGCAGGCGCGGTTACCATACCATTTTCACACAAAAAAAACCCACATATAAACCCCATGCTTAATTTTATTCAATCATCCTCAGTTTTTGTTAAAAATTGCTTAAATTGATTACGCGGATTTCGCTTATCGCTGTTTTAATTCGATAAATTAATCAAGTTATTGTAATGGAAATGTTATTTATTATTTGTGTTACAATACATCATAATAAGTACACATAGTATGTATAATCTATTCTGATTTCTTTGGTTATATTTGCTATCAACTTATTTTTAAAAGTCAACGTCGTAATTTATCACCTCTACTTAAAAACTGTTATTTTAATTTTTTAGATTTCTGGCAGGCAATTTGGACAAGTTTGAACTCCTAATATTTCTTGTGTACAGTATGTTAGTTAGTTAATATTACAGGTTATAAGATCTCATCATACATCGTTCGCAGTTCTAGTGATATAGTTCGAACCGAAAGAGCATGTATCAGATTATTATATTTGCTATTTTTGCTAATTTCTATAAAAGAGATAATAAATTTATAGATATACTGTATTCTCAAAGGCATTTAAAAAAATAGAGAATTTAAATGTATTTAAGAAAAAAAGCAAAAGAATATTTGACAGCCAAATGTTACTATACATTACATGACTATTACAATGATAAATATTAGACATTTATAATGGTGAAATAAATCAAGGTGATACAATTCATGTTCAAAATTAAAGGAAAAATGGTTAAAAAAATAACTTTGTCAGATATGTTTTTTTTTTCTACAATGGAAATTAAAAAGATATCCAGACACGATCAACTTAAAGTGAACTTCGTCTTTTATATAATTTTTGGGCATTCAATGTTATGATAGAAATTTCCACCATTATGCAAAGGATTAATATCATTTCTCAATTGGCATATTATTTTAATTGTCATATTTTTAATATTACAAATTATTATTAAAAAAAAAACAATTGGACATTAATTGTATATTGTTCATGCCGATACTGTATGTATGATATAATGTATGTATTCATATTCATACAATAAATGATTTGATTTTTATTTGATTTGAATTTGAACTAAAATCTTTTTTCGACAGCATTTAAAAATAAAATGTTGTTGAAAAAAAACTGAGGGTGATTGAAACAGTTTAGAAATAAATGCCTGTAGCTCGGTACAAAGTTAATTAACAGGCAGTTACTAGCAGTAACTGCCTGTTAATTATACCTGTAATATTTTACAAGCTAATAGTAGAAATAACTCATTCGATTTCGTTTCGTTCCCATTTTTCATGCCTTTTTGGTCGCACAGTGTCAGCGAGTATATTTGCAAAAAAGATTAGAAATGCACTATCTATTCGTGCGAAGCTGAAATGGATCGCTAGTAGAAACATACAAAGAATTAAAAGCTTTCTACATTTTGGTTGTAACGTATTTGGTACAAATTTATAATTACGATATAATGTTTTGTGATATTCCCGGTATATCCGTTGTGCTTACATCTAAGGTTAAATATAGATTGTTAATATAAACTGGAATAATATAAAATGTGTTAGTAAGTAATATTATAATAAACAAATGTTATTTGATTCACAAATTAATTGATTAAGTGTTATTGTCACTAATGTCTAAATAATACAAGCGTTTTCTTTCTCCCAACATTTTTACACAAATTAATATTAATACAAGTAAATAATATTAAGACCCGGCCCAATTAATGGTTTAAATTGATTGGGCCGGACCATTGGACTTCTAATAAATATGGTTGAACACAATGATGGCTGACTCATCCGTCATACTCGTGAACGGTTTTGTTGTATGGACTAGACTATTCAAGATAACTGCTATTGATTGTAAAGATTTTTCTTAATATGGTATCTATGATATGCACTGTATCTATTTAATTTTCCTTTTTAACTAATAAAACTTAACTTTTATTTAAAAAAAAAAGCAACTGTTAATTTTCTCGTCTTCTCCATTGAAATTGCGTTCCGAACCGACTTGTAAATTTATATGAAATTAGTTATTATTTAAAAATAATCGTATTATACGATGTTAAGTTTATTTGAATATTAACTATTTAATTGTTTTAAGGTAATTAAGGTGGTTTGTCACTAAATAAAATTAGACGAGAAATACTAGATGGCGCTGGAATCGAAAGTTGTGGGTTTTGTTGATTGTTTTGTAATTAAAAATAATTTTAATTAAAATTTCTAAATAGGCGAATGGTCTTTATTATTATGTATGAATGTGCAATATTTTGCAGATTCATTCTGCTAAATTATATTCATTCTGAATTATAACCCACACACATTATAATATTTTTTTATTAAAATGTGTTTTTTTTTTTACAAAATTGTACAATATAAGAGAGAGAATAAAAACAATTATTATTATATCTGTAAAAAACAAATAAAACCATTCGACAACTTAGATAATTTATCTCGAATTAATTTTAATTACATAATATTGAACAAAACCACTAGTCACGATTCTAACGCCATCTAGTATTTAATGTCAAATTTTGTTTCGTGATCCACCGGTACGGGAACAACAAGCGTATCACAATGAAACCATAGAATTTTCTAGCAGCTGTCCAAAGTACACATTTCGATAAAATTATCATATATTTGTTCGGCATATACTAAAGTCATTATACTACTGGTTATTCTTTACTGCATAACTATTTAAAAAGATATGGATTTTGGGGGGAAAGGGATTGTTAGCAATGGAGTTTGACAGCCCTATTGCTAACAGTATGCCCTATCAGGTCGACCTCTACGTGGTCCCCCTGGAAACCATCGCGAACAATTCTTGTTGAATTCCTCATGATGGGCTAAATGACCTGCTTTCATCGTCACCTATAATCTATTACTGGTGCCACGCCAGCGCATGCCGATAGCTACGCTATCGATAGCGGGGTTACCATTCCATTATTACCCATTAAAAAAGGTATGTATCTTTTAAAAATCTTTGTCAATAGGGTTTACTTTTGTGTTGGTCCCGTGTTGTTTTTTTCACGGATATACTATTCTTTTATAGGGAAAAAGGTAAGGTATTATAAACCTGTTTTGTACGATAATGGGTTCTACAGAATCGTTTAATTTTTTTTTAAGTATTTTATATTTTAATTTATTACTACATAAATTCGTATTTCTTATTAATACACATCACACACATACACACATAATTATATTACGTTTCACATACACTAAGCAATTTAACGCATCAACTTTCATTATCGCTGTTACGAGTACACACGTAGAATCATTCATTTGTAAATACGAGACATGGTTCCTTTATAAATTCTAAAAATTACAATTAGTGAACAGGTTCTGAATACAATTAAATATATTGTAAGTGTAACTTACAAAAATAGTTAAATACATTGTAAGTATAACTTACAAAAATAGTTGAACCTATTTCATAATTTAAAACTAAATGATATTATATAAATTATTAATATTGGGTTAGTTTAGATACTTCGCACTTACAATATAGGTTAAATTTATCACAGTTCACTGCATACTCGGTTAAATTTGGTGAAATAAAAACACTTCGATATTTATTATTTACGGTGATGGTGATCTTTTTAGAAATAAATATTTGTATGTAAAAAATAAAGAATAACTAATTTTATTAAATTAGAGGCAAGTGATTTGTCAAATAATATTTTTACTCGTTTTGAAGTAGGTATGAGGGATAAGAATGCTCCCTTACGTTGTATTAAATTGTTTGAGAGTTAACTTTGTTTTTCTTTCACCAAAGTAATATAAATAATTGGTTGTACATCAAGATTAACTCATACATTGAAGACATTTATAATAAATTTCTTTTTTTTTTACTTACAATAAATAACCTTATAAACTATAAATATATTTTTTACCTACACATAACAAGCTCTGTCAACATATTACTAAGTTACCATCCATAAAATAATCCATGGAAAAAATGTAAGATTGCATTTAATATATTATATAAAATATATCTTAACCTAAATAAAAATTGGTGTTTAAGATATATTAAAATCATAGTTTTACGGTAATAAATTTTGATCGGATCAAAAAATAAAATAAATTAATTATTAATGTTGTAAAATAAAAATATATTCCATTAAGTAAATAAAATTTTCAATGGGTTTATGGATACGGATGGTAACGATATGTTTTCATTCGACATTTTTTTTTTATTTCAAATTATATAATTTAAATATAATCGAAAATTTAATATTAGTTTCTTTTAATTTTGATTACAAATTTATTTTAAAAGAGTAATTTTAAAGTCAGACTTTAAAATGAACAATTTTGGCTCGGACATTAAATCGGGCTTAATCCTTGTTTATCCTTTCCTATCCTTACTTATCCTTCATTATCCTTACTTATCTTTCTTTAACCTTATCTATGCTTACTTATCTTTCCTTACCCATTCTTAATTTTAAAAGTAGAGAATTAATCACTCACCCCATTGTTATAAAGATTGGTATATGCATACTATTTGGAATGAAATTGGCATGAGAAACTATCTTTCGTTAATAAATATATACCAATCACATGAACAAAGTCGCGGGTCAAAGCTTGTACTGCATAAGTATCTATTGCAAATTATAGATACGAATAATGTTAATTACTTAATATTAAAGCATTTTTATTGGGTTAGTGAAGGTGTGTTGAATCATTTGAAGCGTTCGATTGTTTATGCCTACCATAGTTTCCATTACACATGACTGGTAGATATACATATATGTATGCAAACTGGTCATTCGTGTACCCTGAAAAAGAAAAATCGTGTTTATAGGACCTGAATATATTAATATTTTTTTGTAATTTAAAATGGCTGACAGACAGACGGCTCTTCTGATGGAAAATGATAACCGTCGTCAACTATAGACATAATGAGTAAAGTGATCATACATTATGATCCGCATAATATCCCAAGTATCGTCATTCCTAAGAACTAAGATATTATGTATACCCTGTAATTTCACTGCAATATCCCGCCTATCTATTCTATGACTGTATGGTCCCGGCATAGATTAGGCCACACCTTCCTTTCCCGCAGGTAACGTAAGATACGATTAAGGGAGGGCAAGGGATGGGCAGCAGCGTCCCTCTTAAAACATCTTCAAAGCCTAACTGCGGTTGCCAATCCGTCTGCCAAGTATTGCAACTTCTGGCAAAATCCCCAAGGGGGAGGCTTATGTTTAGTAGTGGACAGTTAAAGGCTGATATGATGATGATGATGATCCCGCCTAGCAAATCGAAACGCAAACATGCAAGCGCAGCTGTTTCGCGGTAAAAATACTAGTGAACTGCTCTGTACAGTCTTAGATTATATAGATAGAGTGTCTCCATAGGAATGCTGCGAGAAAAATGGCATAAACAATTATAATTAAATGATTTCCTTATAACTTTTATATTTATTTTGTCTTATGAATTCTGCATCTTTTTAATATGTTTACATATTTTATTACATATTTATACTCTCATTTTAATTATTAGATAATACATCAAGGTACATTTTATGCGTAAATACATATAATAGAATATTGATAAAAAAAAAACGAGTCAGCTAATTTGATATTTAGCTGATAAAAAGTTAACCCGTTTTTTAGGCTCGATGCTCTATCAATATAATCTAAGGTCTTTCACTTCCATTCTTCTCTGTTCGCAGTTATTTCTGCAAACTACTGGACCATATCATCTTTCACACAGTCCATTGATGTCCATGTAGGTCTTCCTATGACTGTAAGTTTTTTCTTATAACAATGATAGGAAAATCTTATTTTTATAATACTGTAGCAGTTTGCAAGCAGCCGTCAAGGCGTTAAGAGGTAACAAACAAACTCACATATATATATATATATATATATATATATATATATATATATATATATATATATATATATATATATATTGTTCTAATGGAATTAATTATACATTTATTTATATTTTCATTAGGATCTATTGAACAGGCTGTGTATTAAATAATTATTTAGAGATTTATGATAAATAATTTTACATCACTGACATCATATCATAATCCTCAATATTGATCCTGATAATGGTATTCACGTTCCAGTTGTGATGATTATCATCGCTGTCCGGTGTTGGCAGGACGTCGGCCTTTCTATTCCTGGAATTTATAAATTTTAATACAGTACATTTTTTTTATACAACTTAGAATGGCAAACAAGCTGACGGCCCACCTGATGGAAACTGGTAACCGTCGCCTATAGACATGAGCAGTACCATGAACATAACAGAGTATACTGTTTCGCCCATGATACCCCCCATGCGTTGCCATTCCTGAGGACTCAGGTGTTATTCCTCTGTACCCAGTACCATGTGATAAACAATAAATAATAAATAAATAAAATTCACAACAGTAATCTCTGATGGTGTTTTAATGGGATGCAAGTGGAATGGTTACCTTGGGGAGGTCTATGTTGAGCAGTGGAAGTTAACGTCTAATATGAATCATCATTCATATCAACCCTTAACTGTCCACTGCTGGGATGTTATGCTGGAATTGCTATCCAATGGAGGACTGTGTACAGGCTAACCTGAATTTGAACCTGAACCAAAGTTATAACCTATACTGCCAGCAATAGAACCATTAATTCACATTACTAATAATTGCTTCCCCTATCCCTTATGGAGTAGTGAGTGTTGACAACGTAACACTTCACTCATGATACACTCACATTCCGCTGATGTGGCCTCTATTTATGACTTTGCGTGATGCGAACTAGAAGAAATTTTGTGAATCCATTTAAAACTCATTTCCGAATATAGGTTATATTCGGGGGACCGAAAATATTGTTAATAAACCAAGTTAATGCAAGTGATCCCTTACTTGAACTAAATTGCTTTCTATTTATTAAGTATTATATTTAGGAATAAGTATATATGTAAATATACCTATATGTTACGATTGATATAAAGTTTCTTCCTATAGGCTGTACATAGTGTCTACTTACTCTTGGCTGTTTTCCGGTCCTGATTCTGTGACAGATTTATCATTATTTGTACTCGATGATCCATCATTCCTTTGTACATTTCTCAACTGCATGCACATCGGCTTTTTTGTATCACTTTGTTTGTCCCTGTAATTACAAAATTTGATTCTTGATCGTTTATACAATAAACATATTAAAAGTGTTTAAATATACTGAAACTATATATAGAATAGATTATCCTAGCGATAAGACCGCCTTTTGTACCTTTATATATATGTAAATTTTGATCTGTACTCCAAGCTACTGTATATCAGTTGAATTGAATTGTTTTAATGTCATTTATATTTAATAATAATAATATCAAATTGTAAATGTTAATATTTATATTTGGTTCCGCTTAGTAGTTTGTATACATATAAATTTATAATTCATAGTTTAAAAAAGTAACAGCGGGAGGGAGAGTTTACCAGAGGGAGACTTTGTACAAAAGTCGATTGCTTGGGTACCTCTGTCCCATTCGTGTTTCAACCGTGAAGCAGTTGTGTTTGCATGGCTGTGTTTTGGTTTGAAGGGTGGGATATGGCGTGAATTTACTGGGTACAGAGGATAACATCTGAGTTCTCAGGAATGGCAACGCATGGGGGGTATCATGGGCGAAATAGTATACTCTGTTATGTCCATGGTACTGTTCATGTCTATAGGCGACGGTTACCACTTTCTATCAGGTGGGTCTTCAGCTTTTTTGCCATTCTAAGTTGTATAAAAAAAAGCTGAGTGAGCTGTATCTTTTAGCTGAAATTGCACGCCGTGGTTAAACCATAAAAAAATGAATGTTTAATTTAAGTCTACTTGAATAAAATGATTTCTGTCTTCTTTGTTTCTTGTCGTAAAGCAATAACATTGAAATAATCTAACAATTTTCACAAAAAAAAATAATTATAACGATTAATAAAATAAAGAGCTCTGTTACAGATAGAAACTAAGAGACAAAAATTACGGGGTACGGCGTCATAGTATATAGGTCTCGGAATCGTAACACATGAGTGATACTATAGTTGTCACAGTATATCTATTATGTAACATTTATGGTACTGTACACGTCTATAGGCAACAGTTATACCATTTCCCTTAAATGAGACATCAAATCGATTACCATTTGAAGTTGGGGAAAATATTCTTCGAAACCAATTTCTTTTATGTCACGCGTTTATTAAGAAATTCGTTGCATTTATGTTTCTAGGAACTATAAGCAAATTAATAATTCGCCTCACTAAAAGACAGTCTGCTGATGTTTGATATATATTTATAAAAAATATTTCGATTTCTTGCCAATTTTATATAAAAACTTGTTATAATTTCAACAAGACTTTTTCTTAATAAAATGAAAATGTTATATTAAAATAGATCTCTAAGTATCTAAATTATGTTTTAAATGAGCATTTTATGAGCATTGAAACATACTTACTCCTTACTAAATCTATTTTTCATATTCGACCAAAATTGTAGAACCGAGTTGCGGTCTTGATTTTCGTTTACACGCATCGCTACATAGTCGTCGTAATCTTTTTTCAGCACTTGACGGACCTGTTAAGATGTAATTTATCTTATATCACAAACTATATTCCACTGATATATATATATATATATATATATATATATATATATATATATATATATATATATATATATATATTAGTAATTTAATCAATATTTATTAATCGACATATACCCTGAGTATAAGTTAACTTAGCTTATAGTTATAGTTAGATTGAGTCTTGCAAAAAAAAACCGATTTCAATTGTTACAAAATTGGTTATTTTGATCTAAAAACTAACCAACTGAACTGATTTTGATAAAATTTCTATGGTACTAATTTGTTAGCAAGCACTTTAAGATAAATATTTTCCAAAAAGTTATGATATCTCACAAACACTAAAAAACATATACCCAATTTAAGAACCTCTTACTTTTTTAAGTCGATTTAAAAGAGGTATGATTTTCGTTAAATAATAGCATCATTTCTGGAGTAAAATTTTACAATTCACACAATTCTTACAAACATATTTATACATATTTTATTACACAATGTAATTGTAAACAGAAGAAATAAGTGGGCATTCTGGAGGCGTTGAAGACTCGTTATGATCCTCTGAGAAGTCGAGGGCTTGCTTTATTTGGGATAATAGGGAGCGGCGGACAAAAGGCATTCAAGGTCATAGTCGGAAAGCCGAATAATACTAGTTTTGACCCGCGACTTTGTTCGGGACGAAGAAGGATCGGAATAAAAAGTAGCCTGTTTATGTCCTTCTCTATTTTAAATACTATCTATATGCAAAATTTTATAATAATTTGTTGAACTATAATGGCAACAAGGGACAACAAATAAACAAAGTTTTTTCACGTTTGTCATTTTCACAATATCACCTTTATTCCGCCATTTCTCACGTGTGAGTAATTATATAAAGTATTCCATGTTTTCAGTTATAATATAACTTATCAGTGTACTAAATTTCATTCAAATATGTTCAGTAATTTTACGTTAAAAAGTAACACTCACAATTAGTAAGGCTTCAAAACTGAAAACCACTGCCCTTTATTAAAAATTGTAAGAAATTACACTCATATAAATAAACCCCTTTATTCGTAAAAACTAAAACTCCCTTCAAATCTTATTACAGTATTTTGTCACATTCTATCAAATTGGGTAAATTTGGTGATATTCATAAGAACTATAACGCCTACAAAACTATTTGAATTATTAGAGTTAGCTGTCTTTCAAATTGAGAAAATACTGTACAAGAAAAGGACAAGACACTTCAATAGCTTAAACAAGTTGATGAAAAGTTTGACATATATTTATTTATTTATTTGATCAACTGGGTGAGCAGTCAGTCTCCCAATGCGCTCACACAAGAAAGCATCAGTACAGTAATATATAAATATAAATATTTTTTTTATGCGTAAAATGGCACGGTTACCCCGCCTGCGCTATCGGTATACACTAGCGGGGTACCAGTGAGCGGTGATAAGTGAGGATGAAAAGGCAGGTCAGTTAGCCCATTGTGACGAATTCAATGATAAATTGGTCACGATAGTTTCCAGGGGGAACCGCGTGGAGGTCGACCTGATAGGGTACATTGGCAATGGGACTAAACTCCTCATTACTAACAATCCCTTCCCCCCTATAAATAACAATTAGAATAAATACTATATAGCTATAATAGAAATAACATTTTATATTTTTAATTATATGAACACAAACATTCAATGGTCTTCCGACAAAACTCCAGCAAGTTGGAAGCAAATACGTCTCATTGTGGATACTGGCATAAAATATTATTGAGTAGTGTCAACGCAAGAGAGAGGAGAATTCGCTTGGCCAACTCTGTTATTCTTGACGGAACATCAAGCAAGTGCCGTCTACGTACTCGCACATAGTAATTTAGCGCAGAAAAACACAAAAGATTTCAATACCTTAAAAAAGGATATTTTGTACTTACCTCGCCATTCAGAAAGCAGTAAATAAGAGCAATGAAGAAGCCCTGGAATGACCTCAGGAAGTGCGTGCTGTAGCTCCACAGTGCAAACTTCCAGACGCTGCCATATAGTGGGGCTTCAATCATGTTAGTGGCGTTTGTGATACCGAGTAGGGGCAACAGAACCAGAGCTGCGCGGACTGCTTTCCTATTGTAACACAAAATATGTATATTTTTTTATAATATCCAGATTGACAAAGCTGATAGCCCACTTGATGGAATGCGGTAACATGATATTTGCATAATATCATGTTACTATTAAATTATTGAGCTATTGAGTGCAAAAATGTCTGCGGTATCTTCATAATAATCATTTCAGTAATTAACTGTCCACTGCTGAACATAGGCTTCCTCTATAAAGGGAGGTTTTGTAGGACCACGCTTGGCAGGCAGGTTAGCAACCGCAGTTAACTTTTGGTGATTTTTTTTATACTACTGAGGTGGCAAAAAAGCGTACGGCCCAACTGATGGTAAGCGGTTTCCGTAGCCTATGAACGCCTGCAATACCAGAGGTATTACGCGCGTGTTGCCGACCCTGAGGAAACTTCTTTACCCCCCTTTTGAAGAACCCCATGCTGTAGTCTCTTGGGAAAACCTCGGCAGGGAGCTCATTCCACAACCTGAGCGTTCGTGGAAAAAAACATTTCTATTTTCTCGTTGTTGGTGATGTTTAAAGTGTTTAAAGATGGAAACTAATGCTCATCCCTGAACTATTAAGTTCCTTTAGTCGTCTCTTACGATTCTCACGGGAAAGGAAGGGGTGGCCAATTCTATGCCGGGATCACACAACAGTCCACTGTGCAACTTGCTATAACATAACACATCATCATATGCTGAGTTACTGGCAAAGCCTCCCTAGGGGAGGCTTATTTCCCTTGAAGGGTTTGCCAGTAGTTGCCATACTTGGCAGGCAGATTTACAAGCGCTGTTAGGCTTTGGAGATGTTTTCAGAGACGTTGCTGCCCATCCTTTACCTTTCCTTAATCGCCTCTTACGACATCCATGAGAAAAGAAGGGGTGACCAATTCTTTGCCAGGACCACACGGGATAATATAATACATAGCTTAGTATATTAATATATATGATAGCTCCTTCTGTGTACTATAGTGATCATATATAGACAGTCGGCATTTCTCAACTCCTGTTGCAGATGTTTCTAGAAAAAATTAACTTACCTGAGTTTTTCTACTTCCGTATTGTTACTCCGTTTCAACTTGACGATAAGAACTTTCATTATGTTCAGTAGGAAAAACAAATTGATCTGAAATACAAACAAAGTTTTCAAAGCTATGTGGTTACGGATTTATTGATAAAATATCTATAACTTCGATATCGTGTCAAAATTATGCTCATCAATTAAACTAGACGTGTATCAAGCGTAGAATAAAAGGATTCAGTACATAAAATTAAGTTCTACGTAGTAAGTCTTTGTTTAGTTAGCACGTGGCTTTCAAAGTTATTCCGTTTTAACTTCACTCTATAGATTTCATTTTTTGTTCTAAGATTCACACTTTAATATTGGCAGTTTCAATCAATGAAAGAAGATATTAGTATTTCAATAATTAAAAAATTATATCGTTAAGAAATCGTTTCCCTAATCTTATACTTGACGATCCTTTTCATAAAAAAAATATCATTTGTAAATATACAATAGGGTCTTAATGCTATGTAAAAGCCTTTACAGGTAAATCGTACCTTCATACCTGCTTCTTTATTGGCGACATTTCTAAAATTAAATATTATTTTGTAAGAAAGTAGTAGTAAAAAAATGATTAGAGATTATACCCTTTTAAAAATTTGACAGGTATCTTATTTAAATGGAGAGTAATGGAATGGGAGCCCTCCCCCTGGAAACATTCGTGGTTAATTCTTGAACCACGTGGAGGTCGATCTGATAGGGTATATTGCTAGCAATGGCGACTAGTCAGACTTTGCAGGTCGGTTCCATTTAAGTTTTTTTTTTATTCTTAATTGTTTTTACTGAACTAATTTCTCAGATAAGAATTTATCTACTTTGCCTACTCATGAAAAAGGGGGAATTAATGGGTATCAATAATTTACAGTGATCTCTAATAATTTCTGAGTTTGGATTCAGCTAATACAGATTGAATAAAACCAATATTTTATTTATTTAGACGAAAATAGCGTATGATTATTTCTCTTTCCATCGAGTTTTTACGACACTCTTACAGTATAACCATTTAATTTGGGGGGAAAGGGATTGTTAGTAATGGAGACTGAGAATCCCATTGCTAGCAATATACCTAACCAGGTCGACCTCCTCGCGGTTCCCCCTGGAAACTATCATGATTAATTTCAGATGAATTCATCATGATGGGCTAACTGGCCTGTTTTCATTCTCATCGATCACCCTTCGCTGGTGCCCCGCCAGCGTATCCCGTTAGCACAGGCGGGGTGACCATTCCATTTTCATCCAATAAAAAAAAAAACCATTTAATTTGTAAAATTGTTAAGTTTTAAGCCATTATAATGAGGCATCTGAACAGTTTTGTTTTATAAAACACTTTCAACACGTGCATCCGATGGTATGTACCTACATACGATGCTAAAAACGTACGCTGTCAGTTGCAGACTATGTATGGAAACCTTCAACGTACACTTGTATACCTACATGCAGTGTGTACGCAACAAATTTGTTTATGCCATACATCTAAATCTAAATGAATGAGGGGAAAAGATTTGAGTCTATGTAAGTTACTTAGCCGATTTATAAAATTATTTTAGTTAAAGAATGCTGCGTTATATCAATGAAAATAGTTATATATTATTTTTAAAAATATAATAATGTAACCGTAACTGTAAAAATGAACAAACAAATTCCATTTTTCTTTATAATATTATAGTAAGGAAGTAACAAATATATTGTTGGTTATATCTTACGTTTTAACTCCAAAATTATTCAATATCTGTAAAGGATTAACATATAATCATTTAAATTAATAATCGACATTAATTTTGAGAGTAAGACTTGTTTGTCTTGTATTTAATTGTGGCGATATTACATAACGGCCCTATAAAAAATAATTAAAGATTGAGTCCAAAAAACTGACTTCAATTGGGACCAAACCAGTTATTTTCATTTAAAAACTACTAAAACTACTAAACCGATTTGGATAAAATTTCTATGAGACCAATCTTTAACTATATACTATCAGATAAAAAAGAATTTTCCAAATCGGTTTAGACTTAACCGATGAAGTTATGAGGTTATTAAAAAAATACAGTCCAATTGAGAACTTTTTTCTTTTTGAAGTCATTTAAAAAATAGAGTCTTGGAACTCTTGCCATTTTTAATCGATTAGTGAAAGTAGGATTATGATGAGTTTAGGACCAACATAATTGACTCAATTGGCATAGTCGTGAATTAGTGCTGCTTGAGAGGACTGCTCTCTTCATATCTGCTTGTTTGTTTCACATTGAGCAATAGATATAAATAGAAATCAGTACTAATTAAAGTCCCAGTTCTCATATAAAATTATCTTGTATATAAAAGAATTGAATAATGTAATTGCTTATTTTACTGCTGGTTTCATGTTAGTGCTGGCTCATTTTAGTGCTTCACAGTAGATAACAACATTACAAACCCTAGGTTTGTAGTATCTTAAAAAAATAGTAGAATCTTAAAAAAATTACGATTTAATGAAATCGTAAACACGTCTACCTGAATTAAGACTATTTTAATTCAATACTATTCTAATTAAGGATTTGTACGCGTACAAATTTTTTTAATAATCCGACTTTACTAATTAGACTACAAATTATTCGCTGAGCAAATCATTCGAATTATTCAAGTGATTTTCAAATCATTCGATTACTAATTTTATTCATTCGACTACTAATATCGTCTGATTACTAATATCATTCGACTACTAATATCATTAATTAGTAGTTGTTAATGCACGAGTTGACCTGATTGTTAGAATATTTTAATTTTTTATTGAATAAGAGTGTTGCCAATTTATATTTAGTAAACATTACCGATTTTCGATAAAAGGAAGTATAGTTTTTATAGGAAATTGCGAAAGTATAACAAACTGTATTATAAAAGTAATGGAGATAAAGACTATGAAATGAACTTAGTAGTAATTAGATTCAGAAAAAGGACTTTCTTATAATTAGTTATTAATTAAATAAACGTAAATTAGTATATTACTAATTTAGTAGTCGAATAATAAAATTAGTAATTACAAATAAATCGAATAACAAAATCATTCGCATTCGCGCATCGCTAGCACACTTATTACGTTTATAAAAGAGTAAAGTATATTTATATTTTTACACCGGCAGCACACCTGCAATAGTATTACGGATGCTTCTGGGTGGTGGTAATCACTTACCATCAGCTGAGATGCATGCTCGTTCCCCCCTCTGTCATCATAATAAAATTGTGTTCCCAAAAAAAAAAGAAAAACCGAATTCAATTGTGACAAAAATAATTATTTTGATTTAAAAACTAAACTACTGGACCTGCATATTTATATTTGTACGATAAATATAAACTAAAAAAAATTCAACCTAATTGAAAATCTCCTTCTTTTTGAAGTCGATTAAAAAAAAATATATTTACCAAGACGACGCCGAGCCTCGGACCTTGGACAATCCAGTATAAAGATAAGAAGTTGTAGCCGTACCAGCATCTGTAAGATTTAAATATAATTAAATACTACCTATGTACTGTGGCTTCGTCTAATAAAGTATTTATTTTTTATTTTTAATTCTTTATTGTACACTAGTTATAAAAATATGACAGAGATAATCAAAAGTACAAAGGCGAGCTTAACTCTAATAGAGTTTTCTTCCAGCAAACCCAAAGTGGAAAAGAGCATCAACGTCAGCGGATACAGCAGTGTACAATATTGTGACAATTTTTAAACAGACAAAATTAAATTAATTACATTATATTTAATCGTACAAATACACATATACATATACATAAATATATACCTACATCTATGCATATACTTACACACACATACACATATATATAAAATATACCTACATATATAGATATATTACCTTAGATTATATAGATAGAGTTTTGAGCCTCAAAAACGTTTTGACACATTAGCTGACTCGATTTCTTTTATCAGTATTATATTTACTTATGCATAAAATGTATCTTGACATATTATTTAAAATAAAATGAGTGTTCACGTATTAAAAAGATGCAGAAATTAGAAGACAAAATAAATATGGAAACTATAATCACTCACAACTATTTATCACGCAAAAATCTAATTCTTCTGAAATAGTAGACCCGTAAACTCTATTATCTATATCTCTATATAATCTAAGGATATAACCTAAGGATATAATCTATCCGTGTACAAAGTTCATTTAAATTCATTCAGTAGCTTTTCTTTGAAAGAGTAAATACTTCCGTCCATATACCTTCACAAACATACGGATTTATAACAGTACGTACTAAGATTACATAACAGTTTTTTTTTACCTTATAAAACAATTAGGGAGGGGAAGAAATTATTAACGGAGACTAGAATTTCGATTACAAAAAATATCGTCTTACACGTGAACCCCTCTGGAAACCATGGTAGTTAATCCAACTCCCATTTTAAATGCAAAAATAATCCATAATATACATTTTATCATTATTTTCCCCATTGGGTGTTGATTTTTCGAGCTGTTTGAATATTTAGATTTAAAGATTATATATTCACCAATTAGCAAATAGATTCACGGTAAGCTTCAGAAGCGTAACCCGCATAATTGAGATAAAAATATCCTATGTGTTCACTCAAACATTACCCAATATTAACCCAAATTATGCGGAGAATGTGATCCATTTAAGTATAAAATTTAATTCAAACCCATTCAGTCGTTTAAACGAGATTTGAGTGTTTACTTTTAAATTTAATGTATTTGCATTTAAAATGTGGGTTAATCCTGAAGTGACATTGCATAAAATCCATCCTTAATATAAAAATTTCAATTCGACATGACAGCAAAGTCTTTATTTTAAGAACAAATATGAACAGAATTTTAAATTGATTCAAGTAAAAATTATATTATAAATTGAATTTATGATTGTCCATAAAACGGTAATTTCGCCAAATTATCGAGTTAAAGTCAAGTTATAATTAAGTTAAAGTTTAGAGAAATGCCGCTTTAGAACTGACCGCAATGGACACACGTTGCACCCAGTTTAATTTAGTTTATTTACTTTAATAATCCACTTTACATTACATCACTTCACCAAATTGAATATCTAATAATTTATTGTTATTTTATTATTATTTTTTATTTAATTTATAACAAAGTTTATTGGCAAATACAGCAATATATTATAATCACATTTTTGTTAATTTATTCATACAAAAGTACTTTTTATTACTTACTTATAAGGTTTTCTATTAATACCTATACTTTGTTAGTTTATATATAAGTTAAATAACTTTAGAGGCGAACAAATCTTGAAGTATCGAATTACATAATATCGCTCATTATGCAACACTTTACACAGATTAGCACCTTAATAATTAGTATATTATTTTAGTAACATGAATTTCTGAACATTTTTTTAATCAAATTAAGTAGCTATGTGACTTTTTAAGAAAATTTTATTTCATCCTACTAATCCAGAAGTAAACTCATGCAGAATTAAGATCTCCTTTGTACATTCGTTTGCCATTACATATTAATGGCATATAAAATAAAGTATACAAATTACATATGGTGTTACCATGCAATCAAGTGTAAACACATGTGAATGTTTGAAGAGTTGTACGGATTTTTATGTATTAATCATACAAAAATGGCTGGGTGGATTTGAATTAAATTTGGTACACGAGTAGATTTTATCCTGACTTAACATATAAGATTATATTATGATTGACGCGAGCGAAGCTGTGAGAAAAAGCAAGTTATCTACAAATTGTGCCAATACTTTGTCATGACATCTTATTTTATTAATAAAATAAAACTATATATAACTATACGAAGCCCATACATGGAAGATAAGTAGGCTCCTAATAAGAATAATAAAAGTCAAAACAATATTTTTTAGAAATTTTGTCTGTTTGTACCGGTATCATTAAGAAATTACTGCATCAAAATGCATGCAGTTTTCACAGTTTTCCTGAAAATCTAACTTAAATAACTGGAGTATATTTTATTTTGATACGTTATCTAGAAGTGGTATATTTTAGTTTCCCTATATCTAAAATTTACGTGTACGAAGTAGCATGCATAAAACTAAAATTACCAGAGGGAGACTTTGTACAAAAGTCGTTTGCTTGAATACTACTGTCTCATTCGTGTTTCTACCGTGAAGCAGTTGTGTTTGCATGGCTGTGTTTCGGTTTGAAGGGTGGGCATGGTAATGAATTTACAGGGTACAGAGGAATAACACCTGAGTCCTCGTGAATGGCAACACATATGCAAGTATCATGGGCGAAACAGTATACTCTGTTATGTCCATGGTACTGCTCATATCTATAGGCGACGGTTACCACTTTCCATCAGGTGGGCCGTCAGCTTGTATGCCATTCTAAGTTGTATAAATAAAAAAAAAATTGTCAATAGAATAAAATAACTTACTGTCTCACACTTTCACGACTGTAATGTAAGGCGGTCATTATTGACCAGATACCGGTCACAACCATTGGTAATCCCCATCCGGTAACACAGTACACCAAATGAGAGGTTCTTTCCCTAAGAACGTTAGCGGTCACCACGTTATGGAGGTACAATCCCTCAATAAACATCCACATGAACATGACGGTCACGGCGTATTCAAGTAACACGTACGATGATTCGCAGAGGTACGGCTGGAAGAGAGACAGGTGATTACACTTGTTGTAGCGGTTGCAAATTTTAAGGTGAGTGACCAGTGATAGCATTCAACTAGTAAGTACCGATTAGTTCCGATATGGTGAGAAATCTCATTTATTATCGTAAGATGACCGACTATAACCAGAGGGAGACTTTGTATAAAAGTCGATTGCTTGGGTACCTCTGTCCCATTCGTGTTTCAACTGTGAAGCAGTTGTGTTTGCATGGTTGTGTTTCGGTTTGAAGGGTAGGATATGGCGTGAATTTACTGGGTACAGAGGAATAACACGACAAATAAAGAATAACGTGAAACAGTATACTCTGTTATGTCCATGGTACTGCTCATGTCTATAGGTGACGGTTATCACTTTCCATCAGATGGATCGTCAGCTTGTTTGCCATTCTAAGTTGTATAAAATTTTTTTTTTTTGTTCAAAAAGACTACACTTTGCAAGTATTTCATAGGTGAAAAAAAAAGAAGAAAAAACGATAAAAACTTTATTTTCTTTTAAAAACATATTTTTCTTCGGAGTTATTTTTGTTTTGATAAAGAAGGATGTTCGTCAAATAATGTAGCCACATCCCAACAACTTTCATTTTGCATATTAAATTTGACTGTTAAAACGGCAGATAATGTTTTTACAGAAAGTTGAGACTTCTCACTGCACCAATAATCATTCCCTAGTGGCAATACCCTTTCAGCAGGTGCATTAGTGCCTGGACAGCATAAGGAAATTTCTATTTAAACTTTTAAATTTTCATTTTAAATTTTCTACTGAAATCCTAATGAAATTCAAATCACTGTCAAAATAATTTTAAATATTTAATTAATAAAATTGAAATAAAATAATCTAAAAAAATGTTTTGGAAATACAAATGAGTACTTTCAGAGTACAGGATTTGAAAAGAGTACGATTTGCGAAAAATGAGTACAAAACTCAGTAAATGAGTATAGTTGGTCACCTTAATTATTGAGAAGGTAAACATCTATTTGACCAAAATTTCGCCGGCATTTTACACCAATGATTTCTGATAATAAAAATGCAGTTATAAAAACATTATTTCTGGAGATATTTATATTAGAAAATATTTAGAAGACTTATATAGAAGTCAACTGCTTGGATAGCTCTATGCCATCTGTGTTTCTGTTGTGAAGCACTTTTGCTTACGTTGCTATGTTTCAATTTGAAGATATGATGATATCAGCATTACTGTCCACTATTGAATATGGAACTCCCCCTTAGGGAGTTTTGCTAGTATTTGCTACGCTTGGCAGGCAGGTTGGCAACTGCAGTTAGGCTTTGGTGATGTTTCAAGAGGAATGCTGCTGGCCACATCTCGACCATTAAGTTCCTTTAGTCGCCACTTACGACACTCATGGGAAAGGAAGGGCTGGCCTATCCTATGCTGGGAACACGGGGAAAAGGTTAAAGATATACCTGGCAGAAAAATTATAGGGTACGAAAGCATAATACGATAGTTGACAGGTATGGTAACGCATAAGGGTTTTACCATGAACAGGACATTTTATTCTATGATTTTACACGGTGATGTTCACGTCTATAGGCGACGATTACCACTTTCTATCAGATGAGCCGTCAGATTGTTTTCCATTATAAGTATTATAAGAAAAAATAATCTCAACAAATGTTGTACTTTAAATAAAATCCAATATGATAAAGTAGTGGTATACCTACTATTTTAAAATATACCGCAATATAAACACAAAAGCATTTGGCATTGATCTCGGGAAACGCTACTTCAGCCTGTTGAAGAACACTTATATACCAAGTTACTGGGAAAATTTACGAACTTTCAACTTTACAAAGTCTTGTGCAGTCAATAAGTAGGAGTAACTTTTTGTTGATATCAAGATTTCTTCGGACTTTCTCTAGTAGTTGGTGGCTTATTAGATATATATAGGTTTATAGGTATAAAAAGTTCACTAAAATGTTTGATTTTATCAAATAATAAGTAACTAGTATTGATGGAATATGAACTGACGAAAGATGGAATACTCTAACATAAAACGTTTTCACTCTCTCCGCTAAGCACCATTATATTTGGCTTATAATCTTTTTCTCATGGAAAGAAACCCATGCACAGTACGTTAATGATTTTCATTGCTAGCAATATATCCAACCAGGTCGATCTCCTCGTGGTTCTCCCTAGAAACTATCATGGTTAATTCCTGATGAATTCATCATGATGGGCTAACTGGCCTGTTTTCATTGTCATCTATCACCCTTCACTGGTGCTCCGTTAGCGCAGGCGAGGTTACCATACCATTTTATCCCATCAAAAAAAAAAGTACGTTAATGATAATGGTGACAATCTATCACCATTTTGCAATATCTTGGTTACATTCAAGTAGGTGTACAGCAATTTTCAGAAAGAGGACAAACTAAAAACTTCATTCGTAAGTAGGATTGACGTCAAGTTTGCGATCGGTTAGGAAACCAAAAGTCGATACCTAGTGGAATATAAATAAAAAAACATACTACGACCCCTAATATTTGGAATAAGGGCACAAAAAGGATGATGATGGACTAGATAGAAACTTCGTTCTTTTACTCCTTTTAGTTTTTACAATGTTTTACGTATAGAAATCCTCACCATATTATCAATCCCCTTCAAAGTGTCGTTGTTGTTGGTGGAATGGTCTCCGATCATGCTTCTGATGAGGGCTTGGTCGATGTACAGGGTCAAACGAATTAGAACCTGTACCACCATCGCGATGAACAGACTTTTGTGAATACGAGTGCGACTATTGCGAAGAGACCTAGAATATATTATATAACTGTAATAGGATATCTATATAAATAAAATAGTAATACTATATATAATAAGTATTATACAATCACACTAAGCGCCCTGGCCTCAAGCTAGATAGTTAATTCTGAGGAAATAGGCAACAAACGTCTGAGGCTGTAACCCAAACACCCAGACCTGAGCCAATTCAGAGAAGTTCATTTCTTACATTAACTCGATTAGGAATCGAACTCGAGATCTCATTTACAAAATATGCCTACCACTGCAGAGGTCGTTGAACTATACGTTGGTAAACACTGGACGGATTTTGATAATCGTTTTATATGTTCTTAACAGCGCTGTTACGGTTCTGGATGTATTAATTCTTAAGTGTTAATTCTTATATTGTAGTATTTATGTATTAATTCTTAAACCTTCATAATAGTTATGGAGATTATGGGTACTTTAAGGGATTTAATATTGAGATTAATAGTATATTTTAGCTTGTCACAGTTTCAGGTTTTTTCTAGCGTCAAGAACGAAAGTAAAAGAAAGTAATCTTAAATACTGTCAAGAGAACCTCCACGCAGCTGGAAATCATCGATTTCCAGAGAGAACTGTGGTTAATTCTGCGACTTATTAATTTGACTTCAACTTCGCCTATATCAGTCACTGATATCTTACCAGCGTATTCTTATTTTATTTTATTTCATAAAAAAATCTATATCTTACCTGTAATAAGAGAAGATGAAAAGAGAAATGATCAGAGCCACGAGAGATAAACTAAAACCAACTATTTCCATATAACGTGTTCGTTGAGCTATTTCAAATTTTAACTGAAACAAATATTTTGAAAATTAAAAATGTGTACCAAATTTAAAAGTCTTTGTATGAAAGTAATCTGCTTCATGTGTATTACTGTCGCCAAGCGTTATGCTTTCAAAACACAGATATGATTTGATGAGACATAACACATTTATCACCATAAATGAAGGCCCACCCCTTGAGAAGTTTTGCCAGTAGTTTTCATGCTTGGCATGCGGATTAGCAAACGCCATTGGGATTTTGGTGATCTTTTAAGAGGGATACTCCTGCATATTCCTCAACCATTAAATTCTCTCAGTTGCTTTTTACGGCATCCACGGGAAAGGAGGGGTACATAACACGTTAGTTCTTGTAAATAACAAAGTATAATAAGTAAATACTTGTCATTGCAATGCATACTGAAATACTAATAGTGTAGTTCTAGTTTATAGATGATGATTGATTTAGCTAAAAAATAACTTACATGGGCATCTCGTTCATCATCCTCGTATACCTTCATCAACAGTTCTTGGACTTCAGGGGGGAAGCAGGGCATATAGTTGGTCCAGCCTACTTCGTTGCTCTTGTTACCTCGACGACCAATCCAAAGCCCGTCATCTCCACATCTTCGATTGGCAAAGTCTGCATGTATAAAATTTGTGAGAGGAGTTGCTTTTAATAAGTACACATAGTGCAAATTGTTTATATCATTATAAATGTTGATTTATTTATTTATATTTTATTGTTACTATTGTTATTATATAGTTCGTACAACAGGCGTGCTTAACTCTATTAGAGTTCTTTTCCAACAAATCCTGAGAGGATTGTTAAATTCTAAGAGTCCTCCGGAATGTATAAGACGATTTATGAAAGTGCAGGAAGCAAGAGATGTATGTGAGTATAGGGATCATTGACACTTGGTTTTCTTTGCCTACCCCACAAAGGATTTGGCGTGGAGATGAAAAATATATAGACAAATAAGAACTAGTGTTCCATGTCGTTCAAACTCACTGTTAGTATCACTAAGTCGGGCATCTGGACAGTTCTGGCTCGCCGTCGTGCCCGCCGGCGTGGGCGGCCAGCAGAGGTATCCGTCGAACGTCGCGTTACAGTACGCATATTCTGCAAAACATAAGTACAGTATAAGTAATAGTACTAAAGTGGCATTATTTTTTTATAGAAAAAAATATTGGAAATTGCATAAAAGTTTTCTGTATGAGTAGCGTTGTCACATGTGGCGTGAGAGGAGAAGGGCGAAAGGGTTTTATAAATCCTTGGCACAATGATGAGAATATAAATGAAATAGCTCAGAAACGAAGTAATGTCTTGCACCGTAATAAGTTTATTTCCCAAAAACAATTTACCAATTAATAATATTACATATCATAGGATCAAACCATTCCAATTGTGTATATATTCTTGTTGGCGGACCGCGATACAATGTACGAGTATTAAGTGATCTCGTATCTTCAAAATGATTTAACGCACAGCGCAGCTCTGAAAGTATTGAAATAGGCTTGGAGAAATTGGGGTACTTATTCTGTACTTTCGGGTAATAGTTTAAAATTGCACAGACGTATATAAGGAAAGCTAAAAATAGAACCAGATTGAAAACTTGCTGTATTTTTTGTCGCTCTTTTTGTATTACATGACAAAACATTTAGTACAGTGATACAAGTTGCCCTCATCAGGTCGACCTCCACACAGTTTGCTAGAAACCATCTTGGTTATTTTTTTACGAATTCGTCATTATGGGCCAACTGACCTGTTTCATCCTCACCTCTGACTGGAACCCCGCTAACGTATACCGATAGCGCAGACGGGATAATTATTCCATTATCATCATTAAAAAAAAAAACACCTGTCAACTATCAGATTAAATAGTTTGACACTTTATTGACAAGTAAGTGCTCAAGTATCGATAGATCGATCAATAGATCAAGGGATCGATATAGAAATTAATAATACCCTAGAATACTGTGATTATAGTTACAACAGCATTTTTACAGTCGGCCATCCTTTACTGAACGAGTCTGAACGAACCTTTGTTTAATTATTATTTCTGCATAATTACTATGAATATAATATAATATTTTTAGGTTTCGATGTAATTTATTATTTTAATTCCTTAGTGATTAAATCTTCACGGATATTGTAGGGGCAAATGCAGTGTAAGACGATCCCTCACTAGACGAAGTGACGAACTCAAATGCATTGCAGGAGTCAGTGGATGCAGGTGGCTCAAGACAGTTCCTTATGGCATTCTATTAGGAATGTTTTTATGTTCAGCAGTGGTAGATAATGGATAAGATGATGATGATTGCTGATAGAATGTCCCATGTTTGATAGTATCGTGTTAATCTAATCACTGGTAATTTTATTGCATTTATTTTACAAACCGTTGTATTCCTATATTGTACCTATGGAAATTCTAGCCTTAAAAGGCAGAAAGAACAGATCAATCTAAAGATTGATCTGTTCTTATAACTATTGCTTTTCCTACCCGGACAAGACTACCTTCCTCTATCAAACCTCAGCTTATTTGCTTCTTGACTTTATTAGTTTTCCTGCTTCGGATCTTATTTCTTCTTGTTGCTTATTGTGTTTTTACGTACATCATCATTCATTTAGTATGCCATTTGTTGGACTAGTTATTTTTTTGCAAAATAATAATTTTAATGAAGATTTTTGACACAATAGAATTTGTAGAATTTATGGCCAACTAAATCTCGAGTGATAGTTTGTCCCATTTTCGACTATCTTTACCATAAGTTATCGAAACCTAGGAAGGCCAGGATCATACAGTTCGACGTTCGACTTTACCATTTGCTCGTAGGATAACTACATTATTTAAAATGTATTTCGCGTCGATTGAGTTGATAAAATGCTTTAAATGTTTGCTTGTAAAGCTCCTTACTAAAGAAAATCTTATACGCTTTTTTGGATTTTGTACTTCGCATAGGGGTTAAATTCATATATTTGGCGAATGCATCAATATTTATTAACCTATATGCTTTGCACAAGGATAAGCAAGCTAAAGTGTCAATGGACTGGTCCGAAATAGCTTGAATCGACCACCGACGGAGAAGAAAGTTTCTTAAATGGCGACCCCGTATCGGCAAACGCAATATAGGACGGCTCCCCATAAGATGGAGAGACGATCTCAAATGCTTTCAGAATGAGTAGATGCAGGTGACTCAGGAATGTTCCTTATGGCAGTCTTTGGAGGAAGCCTATGTTTAGCAGTGGATAGATAATGGCTAAGGTGATGAAATGATATTTACGTTTCTAGATTTACTACGGGAGAATAGGCCGAGATAGTCGGAAGAATAGTCAGAGCCTTAATTTATAAAACTAGATCTATCACCTAGATATTCGTGGTACCAAGTCTTTTTTTTTTTTAATAAAGAACGCAGCGTATTGTAATCCATTAAAATAGTCAATTTAATTCCTATGAAATTTATTTGGTGTACTGACGACTTCTAGTGTCTCCAATTTAAACGATTATAGCTTCATTTTATCCTTTGTCGTCTGACGACTATAATATGCTACGGGTCTAAACGGCTTTAAGTTTTCCCATTTTAGTAATATTTCTGAAACATCAGGTTGGTAGTATTTGTGTGCAACCGTGTTTTCCAATTATGATCATACGAAGTTATGACTGGTCGATTCATGAGGAGCGCTTTGATATTTTAAAAAGTCTCCTTTTGGGTCCCTTCTCTTTGTCAAAGCACATCTTTTTTAAGATATTTGTCAAAAGCCTCGCAGTTATCGCAAATCTCTTGTCAAATTTTCTAAAGAAACTAGTCAATCCATTGAACTTTTTCAATTAAGTATTATCACAAGAATGATACTTTAGTGTCTTAAAAACTTCAAGGACATTTTCTACCTTTTCAAAATTAGCTGTTTATACACCATTGCGCACTTTTATCGCTGACTTCATGAACTAACTACACAATACATTGTTTGCTTACTGAAGATTTAATATTGGAAAAATAATACAATCTTATAAACTCGCACAGACGTACTCTTCTGTCATGCATCTCTGTAAGTAGTTTTGCGTAATTTTTAGTGGCCGAAAATGGCCCCTTAAGTATCGCATCGCTTTCCATTCAACTCACGAGTGCTTAACAAAAGAATACCCCTGGTAACATATTCTAGCATGGTCTGTTAACTTAGGCAGGGGATAGTGGATCGTCTCACTTCATTCCGTTTCACAACTGTAAATCTCAGAAAATTCGTCCATCTAGTCGCATGTTAATACAATAGTTTATTTCTTAGGTAACGAAACAAATTTAAATTTCTTAGATAATTTAGAGCTAGGTACGATCTATGATCCCCTGCTCTATTCTTTAACACATTTAGAAACTCCTCAAAAAATCTGTAATATCCATTCTTGGTTTCTTGTTCTTATAACGATCAGATTCTAGCACTTTGGAACCTCTATTCAATATGCTTATCCTCTCTTCAAATACGGTGCGATTATCACGTACCTGATCTTGGGTAGATGTTGAGCATTCTTTTGGATGCCCACGTTTTTTTCTCTGTGTGTAGTTATGGTCTTGATTTGCCCTATGACTATTGTTGTTATCGCGGCTGCTGCTGCGGTTGCTGCTGCGACTGCTGTTGTGACTGCTGCTGCTGCTGCTGCTGCTACTGCTACTGCTACTGCTGCTGCTGCTGCTGCTGCTGCTGCGACTGCTGCTGTTGCTGCTATTGCGGCTACGGTTGCAGCTACTTCTGCGGCTATAGTTGCGGCGACGGTAGTGTGCTGATCGATGTCGGCACTCACCTCGCCGCTTGTGACGGCTATTATAACCGTGACAATATCGACCGTGACAGATGACACGACTATGATTTGATGAAGTTCCTTGTTCTTTTATTCTTTTCTTTTTGTCTTTATTTTTCATATTCTGGAAATATATTGTCTCAGGTATATGTTTACGAAATAGAGTTTATTAATTTGTATGAATCACCACAATTACTGGATATTATCACATATACTATATATTTCTTTTTAAGTTTGATATAGTATAGTTATTATTATATATTTAGCTTATTAACATTGTCTATTAATTAATATAGTGAACTCGATTTAGGAAATGGAGGAATAAAATAGAAATAGTAACCGTAAAAAGTAAATTAAAGTTTTTAAATGGCGATTCATTTGTTCCTCCATTCATCCATTCCATTTGCATCCATTGAATGGTTAAATATCACAATAGTTCATTGTAATATAAAATGGTAAACAGACGATAGTAAAGTAGAAATAGTGTTACCGTCTTGTTTATAAAAAAAATATCAACCCTTTATAAGCCTTCTATAATAAGGAAATAACGTGATTATTAATTAATTAGTAAGATTTATATCTTAAATTAAAATGCGCTAAACTCTGTAATAACTATTCAATAGTGATGTCACATGTAGATGATCTATAAAGCTATCATAAACCTGAAACAGTGAAAAGTAATATTCATAAAAGCACTATAGCAAGCCAATAAGGCAAAAAGGTCAAATAATGGTCCCATAAAGTTATAATGGACTAATACCTTAAGAACACTCTAACCTTAAAATTTGTATTTATAACATAATATATTATTTTATAATAATAAATGAAAATTGATCATTTTTTATAATTTAAAATATGAAACAGTTGAAGAATAGCGATTAATTATGAAGAATTATATTGTTTTAATATGATATGTACACCAATCCTTAAGACGTATTCTATTGTATTTGCTTAACATGCTCCATTTCGATTAATATTTTTATGTATGTATATATTATTATATTATTTTGTAATAACAATAAGGAAAAATATATTTTTCTTATTGTTATTACGAAAATGTAATAGTAGTAAAGTTATTAACATTTTTAATTAAATTAGATAATATTTTTGATAACAGTTTATAGCTGACTGTTTATGGTCTGTAGATATAGACAAGTTTGCAACATAATATCATAAATCCTCCAATAAATTTATTTTAGTTCATCATCATTATTTCAGCCATTATCTGTCCATTGCTGGACATAGGCCTTCTTCATAAACCGTAATAAGGAACTGTCCTGAGCCACCTGGATTCACTGACTCCCTGCAATTCATTTATACAATATACGGCATTTGTCCGTACGAGGTCGCCACTCTAGTACTTTCGGTTGTTGGTTCTCCGAGCTATGTAACCAGCCCATTGTCACTTCAGCTAGCTTATTCCTGGGGCTACATAACCCACATGGGTTACTTTGGTTCTTTTCCAGATATCTTCGTTTTGGATTCTAACAGCAAATAAACTCCAAGCATAGCCCTGTTCATAGTCAGCTGAGTAATTTAAAGCTTTTGCATATGGGACCATGTTTAGGTTCCATAACACTGGTTAAAAACCTTCGTCTTCAAACTTTGAGGTATTTTGGATGAAAGGATGTGGTGTAGTTTTCCAAACGCTGCTCAGTCAAGTTGGATTCGTCGGTTGACCTCTCGGTCGAAGTTGGACTTAGCCATTCGGACAACTTGTCTCAGGTATACATACTTGTCGATAGCTTAGAGCGTAGTGTTCTCAATCGTAACCGGTACAGGTGTGACATGGACGTTAGATGTGATTTTAGTCTTGTCCATGTTTATCTTAAGATCTATCTGTTGAGAAGCACCACTGAGATCATTAATCATAGTATTCAGATCCTCCAGGGATTCCACAATGATAATTACGTCATCGGCAAATCAAAGGTCAGTGATATATTCGCCATTGATGTTTATACCATATCTTTTGCAGTTCAAAATTTTGAAAACATTTTCCAATGTAGCTGTGAAGAGTTGCGGGATTATAACGTCACTTTTCTGCACTGGAGTGGATTTTGTACTCTGGTAGCTATACTCGGATAGACATCGTAGCCTTACTGTATATAAATTTTAACACTTTGATATACTTATAGACAATCTGGCACCGCTGGAGGGACTGTAGTACCGTCCATGTCTCGATCGAATTAAAGGCTTTTTCGTAGTCCACAAACGCCAGACATAGTGGCAGATTATGCTCTTCGGTCTTCTGTATAATGTGTCGTAGCGTATATATGTAGTCTGTGGTGCAAAGCCGTTTCGGAAGCCAGCTTGCTTGGGTGGCTGGAAGTGGTCGAGTTTGCATGTAAGACGATTGGTTAGGACTCTCAAAAACAGTAACTAGATGCGATTTAGAAGAGATATCGGTATAGTTCTTTAATAAGTTATTGTCACCTTTTTTGAAGAACAGGACTACCGCATTTCTACTCCATGCCTCAGGCGTAATACCGTTATGGACGACGAAATTTAATAGCCTCTGAAGGACTACAAGTATCGGTTTTCCACCCGCCCTCTGAAGCTTGCCGTAATTCCAACCTCCACCGGTGCCTTGCCGTTTTTAAGCTGTTTAAAATTTCAATTTCAATCTCCAGTAAACTGATATCCGCGATATCATCGGTTTCTGTCGGGTGGCTTTATCTCTTTGGTCGTTATTTGCATTAGTATGCGATGTTAACGATGTTGTATACAGCTGTCCATGGAACTTCTCAATCAGATATAATATTTTTTTTTATAAAAGAGACTGTTAGTATTTAAATTTGATGTAGTACATTAGTACTACATATTGAATAAATAAACTGACAATGTAATCACGAAAACGAAACAAGGAAATGGTTATATTAGTGTGCGTGTTTTGTAAATGTGTATACGTAACAGTTTTATATTCATAAAAGTAGAAATGAAAAAGTAAAAGCAGCAAAAATTCGTATATATTTCGTTTAGAACTTTATTTGCGTTCAATTAGATACGTTTTTCCATCGTATTTTAAATTTTTTTAGTATTGCATCTAAAGAGATTAATGGTTTAAGCATAATTACGTGAACAATGCGCAATTTTGTGGTCCTTTTTTTCTAATTTATGTTAAATCATCATTTCAGCCATCATCCGTCCATTGCTGGACATAGGCCTCCCTCATATGTTATGTACATCACATTAATTATATCTAAGTATATTTACTTAAAACTAATTTCACATTAAAACAAAAATAATTGTTTTAATCCGAATATAGATTTTATATCTTTGTCTATTATGATCTTGTAAAAAAATATAAAATAAAGTTATTACGAATTAAAAAGAATAAATTATATTGGCAAAAAAATATAATACTACGTGGTTTTTAAAAATGCCAAATTCAAATTATCCTCACAAATATAATTAATAAATAAATAATGTTTTTCCTGGACTATCCACTAATTATAAATTGATTGTTTGTTTTGCTAATTTTTCTGCCAAATCAGCTTCGAGCTTATGTTGTGTGTTTTACTTTTCTATCTCGCTTTAATATGTATTTTTTTATTGCCAATCTATTTGGTGGCAAAGGGATTGTCAGTAATGAGCTCTATCTGACCCATTGCCAGTAATACACCCTATCAGGTCGACCTCCACTCGGTTTCCTCGGGAAACCATCGTGGCTAATTCTGGTGAAATTCGTCGTAATGGGCTAACTGACCTGTTTTCATCGTCACCTATCATCCTCCACTGGTGCCCCGCCATCGTATACCGTTATCGCAGGCTGGGTTACCATTTAATTATTATCCATTAAAAAAAATCTATGTATTTTATAATGTAAGATTTAAATACAGCAGTAACATACTAGTGTAGATGACACCCCCTTTGATATGACTACTGTAATCATAGACGCATTATAACGTACTACATGTGACTGTGCCCGCCTGTGGCGTGTATAATAGGGAAATAGACATTTCATTTCCACGACGTCGTATTTCAACTATGGTCTATTTCAATAGAGCCTAATATGTAAAGGAATAAACAGATTGTAAAAAATAAAATATAAATAAACAAATCAGACTATAACCAAAAGAGAATGAAAAATATTTATTTATTAGGCACATAGATATACATTTACAACTAAAACATAAACAATTATAAACTTAGAAGAAAGTAAAAAAATAAACTTATACTTAATTAGGAATTATGTGACCAAAATGATCACCACTCAGCTAAGTGATTGATACATAACGCTTAAACGCTGATTTTCTATGTAATATTGCAAATCGAAATGTAATTAATTGGTTAAATTATTCGTAATATTACAAATTTTATTTTTTTAATATTTCTATGATAATTTCAACAAAACTTGATCACCTTAATTGATTTGTTATATAAAAAGGATATCGGGGAAAATAAACATCTATTTACATATGAAAATATTCATTTATTTTTGTCAATGTGTTTACTAAATAATATATTTTATATTAAAACTATTTATAAAATAAATGTTCAGTTATAATTAACATTATATGATTATTAAAGTATATTTTCTAAATTAAAACTATTTATAAGTAAACTAAACAACTAAATTACAAGGAAAATAAATTAAGAAATATTTTTATGGCAGTATGTAAAGTGTTAATTTGTTTTGCGAAAAAGGATCTGCTGTTTTACAAAAATAACAAATAAATTTAGTACATTAACAATTTAATAAAAAGGAAAATAGAACAAAAAGAATTAAAAAAGATTTCGTTCTTTATATTCGTAATTCGTATTCGTAATAATAAAATATTTATGTTGCTAAAAAAGATCTGCTGTTTTACAAAAATAACAATTTATTATAGTTTATTAACAATGTAATAGAAAGAAAAATAGAAATAAAAAACCACTTAAAAAAAGATTTGATTCATTATATTTGTATTTATAATAATAAAATATTAATTTTGCTAATCAAGATTTGCTGTTTTACAAAGATAACAAGTAAATTTAGTTTACTAACAATGTAATAAAAAGAAAACAGAACAAAATATTAAAAAAAAGATTTCATTTATTATATTTATATTGATAATAACAAAATAATATATAGGATATACTAGTGAGAATTACTCATATCATTTTATTGTTTCAATGTATTAGAACAATTCCGGTATACTTATCTAGAAATATAATATATTAGGGAATATACAGAGTGTTCAGTATAACAAACACTACGATTCCTGTAATACAGGATGTACAATTGTAAGCTACAATGAGCATTGACGCGTAATGCGAATTCCTGGACAAAGATATACGATAACGGAACTTAATCATATAATAGAATTGTAACACTGGACTTTGCTATATGTTTGACATTGTAACTGACAAAAATATTTAAATATATTTGTTTGTTAATATGTACATATTATGTATAGAAAATAAACTACCATATCCATGAATAGGCAAATTGTTTGTATTGAGCGGGAATCGATTCCGCGACCATCAGTAGGTAGTAAGTTTAACCGCTACAACAAATGAAAAAAACAGCAAAATATCAAAACAGAGCTTTCTCCTTTGGTTTATAAGTTAAGAAATAATCTCTATACTGTGGCACTATGACAGGCGTTTGGCCTGGGAGGCCACAGTTTATTAACATTTCTTGTATCTTTTCCAAATCCAGTTGCTTGACTTCACAAAGTTCTGTTAAAAATTCAATCCACTCATCGAATGTTATTTCTGTTTTGCTGTAAACGTAATATATTTATTGAAACATAACTGGGTAATATTACTCAAGCCTTAGATTTTGCTCCACAGAAAAAGAATCATCAATCAATCATCAAGTTATATAAAACGTATATATAAAGTATATATATATATATATATATATATATATATATATATATATATATATATATATATATATCATTTTGAATAAAATAAATTTAAATCATTTTATAAACGACGGAGTTCTGAACTTACAAGCATTGAAAATATCGTCTTGAATAAAAAAAAATTAAATTGTTTTATAAACGACGGAGTTCTGAAGTTACAAGCATTAAACAATTTTCTTTTCTTTTTTTGAATTTGAATTAATAATAAATAGTAATTAATTCTGCACATTCTGAAGTTTTTGAAATTTCCAACAATTTTTTTTGTTAGGAATGAGGGCTGTATATAGATAAAAAAAAAACAAGTAATAATATGAAAAATAAGAAGCTGGTTGTTGTATTTATGTTTATTGTTATATTTAGGACCAATCTGTAACATTTATAATGTAATATGAATGGCGCACGCGTCTGTCTATTAGGGAAGGATGCCAGTCTTACACTGGCCAGGCGGTTCGGTATACATAGTATTTAACTTTTCCTTCTCTAGCCAATCTACGTTTCAAGCAACAATTTCGTTTCTGTCTTTTACTTGTACACATTGTATTTTTTATTTTTGGTTCATCATATCAGCTTTTAAGCCTCCCCTTGGGGGGCTTTGCCAATAGTTGCCACGCTTAGCAGGCTGATTGGCAACCGCAGTTAGGCTTTAGAGATGTTTTAAGAGGGACGCTGCTGTCGATCCCTCGCCCTCCTTTAGTCGATTCTTACGATACCCACGGGAAAGACAGGGGTGGCCTATTCTATGCCGGAACCGTGTGAGTCGTATAGCCGTGTGGCTATTTTATTTTATTTTGGTTAGCTGTTGTTATTTTGTTTAATTCCGCTACCACTAATATGTGTTGGCAGTCGCCAGCATACTAACGTAGCGAAATTAAACAAAATAATTCTACTCGTAATCAAATAACCAGTGATATTGACTTCCGCAATATAGCGCCCAGTTCAGTGAAATATATTTTTGTTATATTCCTATATGTAACAGCAGACGAGAATAATTTTAGCTCCGTTACGTAATCTGTGAATATGGAATTTCACAATAATTCATTCATTAGCATTCAAAAAAGGCTTGTCTGAATGCTTCCATTAGGATCAATTGAACGCCACGGGTGATATCCTCGATTGAGTGATCATTTAAAAAAAAAACTATTTAAAAAATAAGGAGATTCTCGAAAAAAACCGATTTTAAAAAAAGAAGCAGGTTCTTATTTCCGTCATATTTTTTTTTTATTTTGTTATTTTAATTATAACTCCGTCGATTAGGAAAAATATTTTCTGTCTAAAAGAATAGATTGGTCCCATTTTACAGTTTAGTTTTAAAATTAAAATAAATGAATTTGCCACAGTTTCGAGAAATTTTCATTGTAAGACATAATATTGTATGATTTTACCATCACGATATGTTTAATAGGAGAAAACAGCGTTTGAAATTTTGATCCATTATATAATCATGACCATTTTAGTCTATTGTTGAACACAAGCCTTCCGCCCATAGATTGCCATAAGGAACGCTCCCGAACCACTTGCATCTACTGACTCATAGCATTGCATTTGACGTCGGCGCTTTATTTAGTAAGAGGGTCGTCCTACACTGTGTAGTTCGTCGTCCTAAACTGAAAGCCCACCTGATTGAAAGTGGTAACCGTCACTTACAAACATGAACAGAACTATGGGTCTCACAGAATTTACTGTTATGCCCATGGTATTTCTTATGCATTGCCATTCCTTAGAACTATGGTATTATGCTTTTTTATCCTGTAATTTCATTGCCACATTATCTTTTCGAATCGAAAGCTGCTTCATGGCAGAAATACAAGTGAGGAAGAGGTTTATAAGCACTTCCAACTTTTTTAATTTTTGTATAAGGTCTTGTTCTTAAAATTAAAACGATCGTGATACTAAAATCAAACGATATTTTCCTGTGTTCTGTTAAATTTAGAAAAACGCCTAATTTATATCAGAAGAAGACTTTGTACAAAAGTCGTGTTTCAGCTGAAACACGAATGGAACAAGTTGTGAAGCAGTTATGTTTGCATAACTATGTTTCGGTTTGAAGGGTGGGATGTGGCAGTGAATTTATAGGGTACAAACGAATAACACCTGAGTCCTCAAGAATGGCAACACAAGGGGGCATCATAGGCAAAACAGTATTTTTATAAAATTTTATGTGCATATTGGGTAGGTATGAGAATCGGCCAACATCTATTTTTCATACCCCTCAATGATAAGAGTGACCCTCCCGAATATTTTTTGTTAATGGACTAAAAAAATATTCTCCAAATAATGTATATGGCAAAACAACGTTTGCTGGGTCAACTAGTAGCAATATATATTTTAGTTACATTATTTATATGCAGGCTTAATAACGTATGTGGTAAATATCTGTTATCCAATATTTAATGTCAAAATGAAAAATCCGGTTGAAATTAATATGGATAGATATCTGACCAGTATGGGAGATATCGAAATGTATATGACCTTTTCCCTGCCATTAACGTCCAGACCAATCCAACATATAGATATTGGAGCGGTATCGATATTACAGCTTAAATGGTCGCGTAAAACGCGGTTTCAATGATATTATCTCCCACAAACGCTCAGGTTGTGGAATGAGCTCCCTGCCGAGGTTTTCCCAAGAGACTACAGCATGGGGTTCCTCAAAAGAAGGGTAAAGAGGTTTCTTCAGGGTCGGCAACGTGCGTGTAAATACCTTGGTATTGCAGGCGTTCATAGGCTACGGTAACCGCTTACCATCAAGTCGACCGTATGCTTGTTTGCCATCTCAGTGGTATAAAAAAACCCATGTTTACTTGCTTATTTTTTTAAAGCACAATCACTTGGCAGTGTAGCCGTTTTTTATTTGCCTAACAAAACGTACTCGTTTACCTGAATTTATTGAAAAGTAATCCGGTATCGGTCATTGTGATTTTTCTGTCATCTAAAATTTTAGCTTGCCTCATCCAGTAATCAGAACGGTACAGTGTAATTGTTCGACCGTCCCTTTTAGTGTCGAGAAGTTTTGCAAATTCGTAAAACTGTCCATCTAGTGTAGCTTGTTCCTCTTCACCCATTTCTATATTGTTCCGTTATTTCTAGGATAATAAACGATAATCTATTTTATATGAAATCTAATAAAATGTAACCCCGTTATCTTGTACTAACCATAAATTATATGTTTTAATTCGAACTGTTTAAGTTTCTATTATATTTAATACTTTTTGTTTTGTTGTAATAATATACGAGTATTATGTATTTAGTTGTACCTATGTATACTCAGATACTGTAGTTAACTTGTTATGGATGACTTACCGTGGATAATATAAAGTGCACGGGTATTTATTTAAAAATTGAAGTCTCTAAAATAGTATTTTCGAATAATATATTATTATGGTCATATGGTATGCTGTGGTTATTGCTGAAAGCAGATTAATGTAAAAAAATCATGGAATTATTATTTTACGTTGTCATGGTTACGGTAGCTTTAGAATAAGGTTTTGGTTACGGCCTTGTAAGTAGTGTAGTAGTATCTATCCATAACAGGAAAGGCAAAGGAACTAAGTTATACGGCCTGATATACAGTAAAAAATTTGTATTTCCACGTTTTAACACGACAAAATTTTAAGAAATTATACATGGAGATGTATTTATATTTATAATTCGCCAATAGTTGCTGTAAGATATTTAGAAATAGGCATAAATGTAGTGGAACATTTAAAAATAATTATGCAGCGCATCAGGTACTATTCTCAATCTGCGCGCCTCATTAATGTAGAAAGAATACTTAATCTATGGTCATTGCCAATATACAGACACTCTTAATCTAGTAGTTATAATAGAAATATACTCGTAAACAACGCCGATAAGATCAAGAACTGAAATAGTAGTAAATAATATTCCTAGGGGTAACTTGGGGAGGGAGGGGGTTATTAGTAATGCGTACTGTCAGTTAATAGGTGGTTAATAAATATTATCTGGTTAGATCGAACTCTTCGTGATCCCCTTGGAAAATCATCGTGCTGAATTCCGGGTGTAATCATCACGATGGGCTAATTGACGTGTGTTTTCATTTTCCCCTATTATCTTTCACTAGAGACCCGCCGGAGTATACTATTAGCGCAGGCGGGTTTACCATTCCATTATTATTTATTAAAAAATAGTATTTCCACCAGATCTCTACTTTGAAATTTAGGACAGATTAATTAAAAAAAAAACATTTATGGAGCAAAATCATCATCATTAACTTATCAATTTGTAACTGACCACTGCTGAACATAAGCCTCCCCTAGAGATATTTTGCCAGTGGTTGCCACGCTTGGCAGGCGAATGGGAAACCGCGGTTAGGCCTTGGAGATGTTTAAAGAGGCACGTTGCTGCCCATCAGTTGCCCTTCCTTAGTCGCCTCTCATGACACCCACGGCAAAGGAAGGGGTGTCCTATTCTGTACGGGGACCAGATGGGAGCAAAATCATACAATATTAAATTAATTTATTATTAAACGAATATGCGTAATGACGTCAAACTTTTTTGTCCTTAGAAAAAGGCCAGTTTCAAGATGATTTCGTGCTGAGTTCGCGTTCATAGTGCTTCGAGTGCCTTTCAAGTAGGCAGCGAAGCTCTCCCTACCTTATAAAGTTTTAGAGCCATTCTTATGTGTGATAATATCCTTAAACGATTGATTTTTTAAAGAAGACACATTATCTATTCTCAGAGAAATTTGTCTGGGCAATAACTAAAAGTAAGCATTATAAACACAGCGACACCGCACTTAGGTATTTCTCTGTATGATCAAATATCATTAAATATAATATTTACACCAATGGACTTGATTTAATTAATAATTTAACTCTTGTTCTGTTCGGTAGATTGTATTGTCACATTTTTTTTTATTTCTTTATATTTACTTTTTATTTTCACAAATTTATTTATTTTATATTATAATTTCGTTCTACGAAACTGAAATTGCATTCTAAATAGGTGGTAGAATAATAAAAAAAAATACTATTTAGAAATCATTTATATTTAAATTTACTTGAAACAAAAAATATTTTTATTTTATTTCATGTAAATTAAAAGGACGAGCAGACTAATGGCTCACTTTATGGAAAGTGGTAACTGTCGCCTATACGAGTAGATACAAACTGAACAACCGTATGAACGTCTTAGAACTTGCTTATGTTTTGGAGGGTACGTGAAACCATACTGCAAACCATCTCAGAAGCTTTTGTATATACTGAAGAGAGCTTAATAGCTATTAACGCCAAAAGGTCAAGAGTTGTATTATGTATAAATAACTTTATTATTGTATAAATATATATTTTTTTTATACCACCAAAGTAGCAAACAAGCTTACAGCCCTTCTGAATAGTAATAAGTTACTTTAGCCTATAGACGCCTGTAATCCTAAGGATGACACGAGCGCGTTGCTGACCCTGAAGAAACTTTACCATATACCGTTTTACTATTATTAAATACCGGGACTTTTTTTTATTAACATGTTAAGTAAATAGTAAATAAATGTTTCGTAGAGTGATACGCGTACAAACAAAAATGGGTGTATCGGGAGAAACGGGAAACAAGTTAGTAATATAAGTATCAACAAGTTGAAGTGGCAACAAGTCGGCTTCTAAGCTCGGAGGATCGATAATCGTTGGGGTGGAATTTTAGCGAAATTGTAATTTTAATTGAAATTTTTGTGAATTGTAGCGTTGAGCGAAATTGTATGGACAAATACAGCGGAAGACAAACCCCCGCTAGATGGGGCTGAATGGATTGTTAGTGATTGGGCTTAACAACCTTATTGCTAGCAATATGCTCTACCAGGCCGACCTCCGCGCGATTTCCCCTGGAAACCCTCGTGATTGATTTATTGTTGAATTTGTCACAATGAGTTAACTGACCTACTTTATCCTCATTGGTGTCCCGTCAGTGTATACAGTTAGCGCAGGCGGGGTTACCATTCCATAATCATTCATTAAAAAACACCCCCGCCAGATGGAGCGATAATTTCAATTATGTTGCAGAAAGTTGATCTGAACTCGTTAGACTCTACTTACATATATATATATATATATATATATATATATATATATATATATATATATATATATATATATAAATGATTCTGGATAATGGAGTGGTAACCTTGCCCGCACTATTGGAATACACTGCCGTGAAAGCACAGTGAGAGATGTATATGTAGATAGGTGAGAATGATGCAGGTCAGTTAGCCCATCAAGACGAATTCAACAAGAATTGTTCACTTTCCCTCTATATACACAGATTATTATATATTTAGATATACCTAAATATCTTTATGTACATATTAAGTACAACAAAACTGTAATTTCTGTAAAAATTCTAACAAAGTCTATAAAATAAGAATTATTTTTTTAATTTTGAGATTCTCAGTAGAGATTCTTGTAGATAGGACGTTATTATATTATATTTATGTTATTATATTATATTATAAACTTAGAAGGTGGTTAATTAAAAACGGGCATATGATCCCTATTATATATTTTTGTTTTAATCACTTTATTATACGAAAAGTTTAAGAGAAACATATATACACCAATTGTGTAAAATTCCAATGTATTTATAATATACCTAAATATTAAGTGTACCTACATAATATAAATAAATTCCTTTTCACTATAAACACTCGTTTTCAAACTAACTCTAAAAATAACTTTTCCGTATATATAATTTAAGTAAGCTGCCTTAGGGGATTAAAATTTTATTTCAGTTGAAGTAAAGGAAATATTACCTTTATATTTTCTTTAATTACCCATTACTATATTTCTCTTTACGAAGGGTATATTTAGAAACATATATATTTGAAAATTCAGTTGTTTTATGAGAATATCCAATAAATTAGACAATTTAATCTAAAATACCTATTATTTCGCTGTGTGGTCCTGGCATAGAATAGGTCACTTCTTTCTTTCTAATGGCTTTTGTAAGAGGCGACTAAGGGAGGACGAGGGATGGGCAGCAGCCTCCCGCTTAAAATATCTCCAAAGCGGTTGCCAATCCGTCTGCTAAGCATGGCAACTATTGACAAAACCCTCCAAGGGGAGGCTTATATTCAGTAGTTAAAGACCGATATGAAAAAAAAAAACTATTATTTTAATATAGTTAATTGACTATAAAATAATCCATTACAGATATCCATAGAATTTTTCAATTTTGAATAATGTATTTTCATTTTGTATTTTCGAGAAAATAATGCAAAAGCTTAGATTATATGAATAATGTGTATCCATACAAATACTTCGGTAAAAATAGGTCAACCTTTTTTATTCATATGTGCGTAAATTGGGTTACCAGTTTACAGTACAGTTAATATTTTGTGGGTGAAATTTCTAAGTTTATATGAGAAAAACGATAAAGTATTCTTATGAATTTATTTAAAAGAGCGAAATAAACAGTAGAAATTTTTAAATTTTTAACTTAAAAAATCAAGTAAAATAGATGTCCTTGAGTTTGGGAGCCTGGTGATCTGTAAGATGGGTTATCCTAATACGACACTAGTCTCTCACAAAGATTGTTTTAAATTGTAGCCTATATAGCTGTAAGTTTTATTATATTATTATTTTGTGAGAGAAATAAATATATATTTACATTTACAATAATTGGTAATGTGATGCTATTACATATTTACATACTTAAATTTATATCTGAGTATAGATATAAAAGATGTTTCCGTTCTTAAATCATTCAAAATGCCGCCATTTTAATTTATTCGTAATATATTATGTTCATATGTATATATTATATTATGTTAGAGAAAATAGTTTTAAATTTGAATAAAAAAATCAACTTATTATGGAAAATTTTAATCTAAGCACTTTTAACATTTAAAAAGAGCATTGATTTTGATTTAAAAAAAATTTGCTGACTAAATTTTGACACGTTTTGGTACACGATGCTCTATCTATTTAAGTTCAAGTGATATATGCACCTTATTGTATGCACGTAGCTTCGAAATTGTTTCTAGTAAAGAGTATTAATTTTAAAAAATATTCACCAAAGTCAGTTAAATGCATAATATACAGATAAACACACACACACGCACACATAATATATATTAAATTAAATTACATTATTATTTTAAATTAATATATTAATTATTAATTAAAAAAATAACTAACTAACAACTGTCCCTTTTTAAAATCGGTTGAAAATGTATTAAAATTATCATTTGTGACGTCGCACCAAGAGACGAGTCATCGAGTGATGCTTAGACCTTCTAAGCAATGGTCCTTGATCGTGAATACGCTAACCTTGGCCTATTTGCAGAGATCTTTTTAACTGGCTTTAAGCAGGAGATCTTATTATAGAGAGAATCGAAGTCCTTAGCCGCACGTAAAACAAAGAATCTACCCATTCTATGGAATAGATGTAATATTAGAAAAGAAATGTAGTAAAAAAATAAATAA